ATATCATGGGTCTTTGAAATATTTTAGTTTAAACTTTGATTTTTAGTTCAATATAGGAATCATTTTATACTTGGCTATTTTGTATATAGTCAAAATTTCAACTCTATATTAATTAAAAGGTATATTTAGTTGGTGTAAGTTGGATTCACAAGTGAAATGTCTCACTAAAATATCTCTATTCATATACTCATAATCATACATCTCATATACATGTTGGTATAACTCAAAAAGAGTGATTATATATATAACCTTTATGATTCAAAAGCATTTTGAACTTGTAGCTTGACCATTAATAAAGTAAAACTTATTCATGGACGTTAGTTTTTTTATTTTTTTATAACTGTAACATATACGACACTATTTGACAAGTGAGTTCATCTCAGTTATTTTTTACGTTAACTTGTGTAGAATTGATGTTTAAAGAATGTTTGTTTATGTGCACTAGTAGAACTTTAATATCAAAACTTAGATTAACTTTTTATAAAGTCTATGTATAAACAAGCTCTTTGAGTTGGTTTACCAAATTAAATTTGCACAATCTCTCTTCCACCATCACAATTATTTTACAACAATGTGAAAACGTACGTGTTGATTAACTTTGTGGGTTGGAATTTACGTGAATGATCTTATGCTTTCAAGGAACAATAATGATACCATCAGTCTTTAAAATATACTCTGATACATGTTTTCAGGTCAAAGTCCTTAGTTGATGCAATATTCTTAGACATTAACATATTTCTTAATTCTATAATATTGAAATAATTTTCTGTGTCACTGCAAGTACGTGTTACATATTGTATTTGAAGAAGATTGGGATTGGCAAAATATACCGATTTTCCCTTGATCAACATCATTATCTGTAGCCTTTGGTTGAAGGTTTTCCTTCCACAGTGAATGTTGTCAGAAGTTAGTGGGTAAGTTAATTAATTTACTTGTTTAAAACAAGACCTGATCTTGCATATTGTATGCATACACTTGCTTAGTTCATGTAGCATTTAAGGCATGAAAACACTAGGTTGCTGCTCTATGTGGTATACACTATAATTGAAAGGTAATCATAAATAAATAATTTTATGTGTTGATTGTGATTTACAACAATATGCCTTTGTATGATTCAAATTAGGGCAAAACTATCCTTTCACCCCCAGATCTCTTACTTTTTAGTTTACCCTCCTTAATAATTCTTTTGTTATAATTTCATGAAATTTTTTGAAACAAGAAGATTATAAGGAAAACATTCTGCTACTGGTAGGGTTACTGTACTGTGATAATTGACTGCGTCTACATGGATACTAGACAGTTAACTAATATCCAATTGATTGGGATTTCATTTAATTAAGGTGGATATATACGATTTCGGACAGTGATACAAAACGGTGAGATCGAGCTCTTATAGGTTTCTCAAAACATCATGCAGCCCAAGAACCCTTCTTAATTAACGGAAATAAAATTAGTTAAAGAAGCAAAGCAACGGTTTAATTCGTTGGTAACATATACGAATAAGTAAGAACATGAACACGATTCATTGCAGTAATTAACAGTGAGTAACATACATGGAAGACTAATTAAACTAACTACAGTTTTCACTACACGCATTATGCTATACACGTCAGCAACAGTGATCCAACCATTTCTGCAACCGCAACTCTCTGTAGAACCTCGCTATGAACTCCTCCGCAGCCTCGTCCACGTGGAAATCCTTCTCCACGACGTCGTTCAGCATGGAAGCGGCGGAGCCCGCGATCTTCGCGCGCCTCTCTATGGTACCGTCACCACCGCCACGGCACATCCTCACCGCCCGGTGAGCCGGCGAGCGGCGGGAAGAGGGCGGAGAGAGCTTCCTCCGACTGGCATGCGAGACGCGCGGCGGACTCCCGCTGCAGCTGAACTGGTACTCCAAGGGCGAGACGAAAGAGACGTGAGGGTCACGTGGGCGGCACGTCAGGGCCTGGTGGTGGCGCACCACGACGTCGTTCAGCGCCTTCCCTATGTTCTTCCCTCGCTTCATGACGTCGTTTTGTATGAAGAAGCCGAGGAAACGCACCGTTTTGGAGAGCTTCTCCGGCACGAGGGGTTGGCGGTTGGGGTCCATGCACGTGATGTCTGCCACATGTGGCAGAGTGAAGTGTGTCTGTTTCATGTGTTGTGAGTTTAGGAGAAATTAACCTAGAGTGGTGTGGTCCAGTTACAGAGCCAAAGTAATGGAATTGGTGAAGAGGGTTTGGTTTGTGTGTGTAGGATGGAATTTATAGCAATGGAAAAGGGTAGATAAGGGCAGAGAAAACAAAGTTGGTTGGTTTGACGTTGCTGTTAGGGATAGTGAACCCTATAATCATTACAGTTTTATTGTGCATATCCTTCTTTTTCCATTTCTTCTCTTATTATTGGATGTTCCTCAGCAATTATTGTGTTATTATATATAACACCTATACTTATTCCTTTTCCTTTGATGTCTCTTTTTCTCCCTACTTTATCTTCTTAATTAATTTTTAAATAATTAAACTGAACAAAGCATCAAGTATGTTTGATCCTCACTCGGTTCAAATTTAAAATGGTTAGATGGGAATTGAATTGATTATATGTAGTTGAACATAATAAGATATAGAGTTTACCGTAATAGCACCAGCAGCAGCACCTAAAGTCCCAAACCAGTGGCGACTTTGTGACCTCTGAGTGACCATTGTCTGTGTTGTGGGCCCAGTGGCGTGTGTTGATACGCACCTTTAGTGAAGTAGAATACTTGAGTGAGATTTTTCTTTTATATATTTTATTATAGTAATGGATATATAATTATAAACCGTGGAAAAGCAATAGTACTGACTCACGGATTACGCACATATATAGTTATAAATTAGGAATATGAAATATGGAGGGGTCTCCAAATGACAACTTTTGGTTAGGTGTAAGTTTTCCTTTAGCCCTACATTATCCATATTTAATTCCCAACTTACATGTAAAGGCTATGTGAATTGCAGACTTTGGTTATTTTATTTCCCCATATGGCCTACCATCATCATGATAGTATCAATTATCAGGAATCCTATAGAACTTTTATTCAGTCGGTGATCGAATTGTGTATTCTATAGGTATCTCACAATTCAATTGTTTAAGCTTAAAATCCTTTATTTGTTCTTATCGAAAGTAGTCATGTGCAAAGTTTTGTTTCACATATTCTTTCACTTTCTACTTAATGATATGTATAGGAAATTTCCGGACTTACACAACATTTTAAATGATTTTAGTAAATGTAATACGAAATCAGATAATAACTATTATTCGTTTAGTTTTATTTAAATGAGTTATAATATCAATAAACAAGATTATAACAACATTACAAGTCATTTTCAGCTGTTCTTCATCACGATTTTCATTCAGTGAATTGCCTGGTTCCAATACTTATCTCTATGTATGTCATTGTCAATTGATGGTGATCATCTTTTCATTCAGCTGATTCTTTTTCTCTCAACAATAACCCAGTTCCAATTTTTACTCCCTACATATGCAACTTTTTATCATTGGAATCTCGTGTAATTATGTGTTGTGTAATATATTTAGGAATTATGCATATGTTTAAAAACTCTCTTCAAGACATATTCGATTAAGATAGTTTTTTTACTGATTAATGATAAAATGCAATAGAAATCAAATACAATCCCAGGACAATAATTTTGGATTGAATAAAATTGGAGTTCATATATTTTATCTATTTTGGTTGTAATAATATGAAAATATTTAATTATTCATGTTATTCAATAAACTTTTGAAAATAATAAGACCGAATAATGTAATAGTGAGACGTGTGAACACTCTTGTCGAGGTAATAAAAAATATTTAAAAAGGAAAAATGAGATAATTTCAGAAGAAAATATTTTTATTAAATATCATTAAAAAAAATCATACCATATCTTTAACTATATTTGTGGATTTGAGGTTTTTTTTTTCTTTGTTTTGTAAAAGCTTGATAAAATTTTTTACTACTCATGTATATATTTTGAAAATTGAATTTGACTTTGGTCTTAAAGAAATATAGGTGGTCGTTTGATTGTTTTACCAAATTCCACATCTTTTCTCACTTCCTCTTCATTTGAAAGTCCCACATTGTACCAGATAATCTCATGCATTCTCTCCCATCCAGTATTTATAAGAGAGAATTAAAAATAGGGCTTACACAGACAGGCAAAGTGTAAGAAGAGAGAGTCCTATCGCAGGTAAGTTTATTTATCTCATTCCTTTATATATTTATGTAATTTTTTATATTTTATTTGTTTAAAAATTGAAATCATTATATCTTTTATTTAAATCTATGTTTCCTTTTTATATATATAGGCATACTAAAATGGATTGAAATTATGTTTCTGGATACTCATTGAAAAAAAGAAGAAGTTTATAATAGTTTCAGTTAGCAAATTCACACATGTACAAGGGCACTGAAGTTAAAAGCAAGATTTTGTTTAATCTACTGTGATTATTCTTTAATAATATAATTTATATATTAACTTTTGTATTAATGATAGTAGGTCTTCGGTTGTATTTTAATTTTTTTATAAAAGATTGTGCTTGTCAAATATTCTTAAATTAACAAAAAAAAAAAAAGTTAACACATGGAGGGAGAGAAATGAATAAATTGATTTGTTTGTGCTGTAACTTTAATGATCAGCTGCAGATTCCTATTCCATTTTGATCATGTACAGTAGCACCACTACTTTTCCTCCATTTCTCTATAAAAAAGAAAATATAAACATACTTTTGCTTTCTCATTTTTTCACTTAATTTCTATTCTATTTTTCTTTCCTTCTTTATATCATTAAACCCATCTATTATTTTCATTAAATGAATTTAGGCATTAACCCACCTCATGCATATTAATCCTCACATTAACACTTATATATTTTTTCTATATTTTTCTATTTATCTATTACTTCATATCATCATATTGAGTTTGTGTACTTCCCCATCTGTGATGTATAGAATAAGTGTGTTCAATAATTATATAGAAAATCATGGGAGAAGCATCAGATCCAAAATGGAAAGGTAATGAAGAAATTGAGCTAGCAAACACAAATGCAGAAATAGCATGGACTGTGTTAGAGGATTTTTGCAACATACACAAATGGATGTGCTTAGATACATGTTTTCAAGTTGAGGGAATTCTTGGCAAACCTGGTCTCATCCGCTACTGTTCTTCTACTGTTTTTGATAATGTTGAGAAGACAGGAGTCACCAAATGGACCACAGAGAAGTTACTTGCCATTGATAATGTTCAACGTTGTTTGACCTATGAAGTTGTTGAAAACAACATGGGATTTAAGTCCTATGTGGCTACATTGAAAGTGCTTCCAATCGAGGGGGATGGATGCAAGATTGAATGGGAGTTTGTCTGTGATCCTGTTGAAGGGTGGAGTCTACCAGGATTGGAAGTGTATGTTGGGTCTGCTCTCCGGTACATGAAAAAAAAGATTGAACTTGCCTTCAACACACAGTAGGATTTTCATATGATTGAAAAATCAATATGATACTGCTTGAAACTTTTACAGTTAATAAAGCATAATAAGAAAATTTGTGGTATTAAACTTTTGTGCAATTATATCTGTTTGGTTAACTCATTAAAAAAAATAATGTGTTTGATTTAATATCTTACACTTATACACCCAATATATAATTCATGAGAAATTTATGACGTCCATAAATGAGAATCAGAATATTAATTTTTCATAATAGTTTCGCACATAAATTTATTTATCACGACAACATAGAATGCTTTGGTTATTTTCCCACAACTATTTATAATTTAATATTTTTATTATTTATCCTTAAATCTAGGTTTACTTAATATTTTATCTTTGTTTACTTTTTTATTTTAGTAATGGTTTAATGATAATATTAGATATCCATTGATAAAGTTGTTTTGTTCAAAAGTAAAATTTTCAGAAGATCAATTTTTTCCTTTCTGCATACATTGGATACAGATTGAAAATGGTACTTCACATATATGTGTAAGTAATTTTAAAATAATAAAAGTAAAAGTTAAATAAATTATTTTTTTAATAAATTATATTCTAAAATATTAAGTTGCTTTCAACTTAGCATCTCAAATATAATATATATAGAGTTGAAAATTCTTAATAGAGAAAAATGAAATATTGATATGATATTTTTAAGCAATTGATTATAAGCAACAAAACTTTTCAGAGAAGAGATGAAACTTAAAATGGAAAAAAAATAAAAAATTTAAAGCTTGTTAGGTAAAGTATAGTTTATTGCATTCTTTATCTATTTAATTAATAGACTTAATTAATTAAATTATAGGGGTAAAGTTGCGAAAATGTGAAGCTAAAAAAGTGAAATTAAATCTTTTTAAGAAGTATAAACAAAGGGATATTTTCAGCATTAAAATACACATTTTAAGAAGAAAACAAAAAGTATACACTATGGAAGTTATAAAAAGTGAAGTATTTTATTATTATTATTATTATTGTAGTAATTCTCAATGGTTTAGCTTGATTGAGAAACCAACTTGTCTCAACTTTTTCTTTTTTTCTTCTTTAAAGCTGAAATCTAAAACCTTATGACATATGAGTTTAATTGCACGGGAACAAATACGTTTCAAATGAAAAAAAAAAGAAGAAGAGTATTTTATTTATCTTTTATTTGTTATTGTTGGAATTCTTTGAAGAGAAACGATTTTTTTTAACTAGTAGAGTAGGAATCTATTATATAAACAACCTATATTCCTAGGGGAGACATTCTTACAAGGAATCCTATATAAATTTAGATTTCATAATCCATGTTTACCATAATATCAGTTTTTTAGGATTATTTGACAAAAAAACACGCTTTTTATTAATGAGTCATACATTTATGTTATACAAAAAATTTAATCCAAAATTTTAATTTTTTATTATTTATTATGATTTATTTATTTTGTCCATTTTGATGTAATATTAAATTTCAATTCACATTTAAATTAATATATATTAAGTGAATTCGTAATTTCGTATTGATGTGAATATACATAAATCCTAAATATGGAGAGAGTAATCATAATATTTGGTTGAATTCTTTAACTAATGAGTTTATTCATTTTTCATTGTTAATTGTAATTAACCCTTCAACCCCTTAATTATCATGGTTCTTAAGATTAGGTTGGTCATTAAACTAGTGAATGTATAGATTTAAGGTTCAAAGATTCACCCGTTTAAACAAAAATTAAATCAGAGTGTTAAATTAGGTTTAATAAAATAATATATTTCAATAATATAATAATATATTTATTTAAAATAAGTTTATAACAACATAATAACAATTATAATTCAATATAAATATTATTTGACAAAGTATTATATAATAATAAGAATGATTTGTAAAATACAAAAAGAAAAGAAACATGAATAAACATATTATCAAACACTTGAAATATAAAGTAACTGGCGAAAAAGATTATCGTTACACCTAATTTGAAAATAATTAGGATAAAAATAACTATAACTAACTTGAAAACAATTAAGGGAGGAATTTGTACTATATCTTCCATTACATCTAACTTCAAAATTTATACATTTTATTTTATTTTATTTCAAGGCATGGTTATGGAACCCAATAATAATTCAATGTTCACTTGTCAAATTAATTTTCGAAATTAAGAGATTGTGATTTTTACATATTATTGTATTTTTGTAAATGATTGTAGTGATGATAATAGTAGATAACAATGTCATTAATGACGACGTAGAAAGAAGTCAATCAAAGGTAGTGAGTGGAGGTGGCGATAATAATGATAAGAACTAAAAATATAAAAGAAAAATACAACCATTAGTAAAAAATCAATTTTATCTCTTCATGTGTTGTGTGTCTTTATGTTAAACTAAATAAAGAAAAAGAAAAAAAATAATATGACAAAACGACATCATTTAGCTATTTAAAAAATAAAATAAAATTGAGTCACCATTGATCCATCCAGCTTCACCAATTTATCCGATTATTTATCGATTCATTATTTGTCCAATTTTTAAGAAACTTTGGATCGATTATCGTACAAATTCTCGGTCCAACCAACTAAACTTACCAGTTCAATCCGATTTTGATAATCATGCTAATTATTAATAAAACTATAAATAATTATTTTGTATCTCTAAAAAAGATTTTTTCTATCTTGACAATATTCACTAAGATTAGAACGAAGTTTTCTCTTTTGTTCCATCTCTTATAAATACAATCCAAACTTATTATTGTGAGAAAAAAAGAAAAGATAATAAGAGTCAAACTCACCTTTAACATCTTTAATTGTCATGTCTACTGATAATGGTTGATACTAACAATATAATAAAAACGTATGAATCTACTTTCATGTTATTTGGTTATAAAATTGAATTATGTTTTAATTGTTTTAATTTTTTTTAATAATTTCTATTTTTCTTGTCATAATTTTAGCTTATTGAATCTTTTAAAAATGTTTATATGAAAATTCTCTCCCACCTACCCAATGTAACATACATAGGATAAAAAACATAATTTTTTTCACCACTTGGCATGAGTATATAATCTAGCTAATTTTCCTTAAAACAAGAATAATTTTATAGTTTAACATCAATTGGTTCTAGATTTTCAACATGCACACTGACACTTTGAGCTATCAATTCTTCCTCATGCATCACCACTGATCTACTGGTACAAAATAGACTTTTTATGCCACCTAATCTTTTATCAGACAAAAAAATAATCGACTAAAAATAATAATAACATTTTTGTAAATAAAAAACACAACATAAAAACCCAATTTTATGCTAGTAATCACCTAAACCCCCCTTTGGATTCAATTTCTCTTTGACACATTTTTGTCTTCCTCTTCTCTTTCATTCAATAAAATAAAAGAATGATAGAAGACGAGAAGAGTGCGATGAGCATGTGGAGTTTCAGCTGGAGTGTTTGCTAAATCTTGCAACATAGCAAGGAGAGCAATGAAGTATGCTATGCCACTAAGAACAGACCCCATAAGCTTTTTAGCTCAAGATGATCTATGCCTTTTTTTGCACCCTCTCAGATACATGCACTTTTTGTTATTTTGTTAGCCATTTGTTATGAATTACTGTTGGAAGTTCCACAGGGTATTAAAAAATATACATAAAAATGTGAAATATTAAATTATACAAATGAGATTAAAAAGTATATATAAGTTTTCTTACTAAAAATCAACCATCATGTTAAACAAATTTATGTGATGGTCATAAATAATAATGAATAATCAATTTTAAAATAATAATATATATGAGGTTCTATTATAAACAATTTTTTTGATAATTAATAATAGTATAAAAGAATATAAATATATAAGATGTAAGAATGAAAATAAATTTATTTTATTTATTAAAAATATTTTAGTAATAAATAATATTATTTTAAAAATTAAATATTTCATGTTTTATTTTTAATATATTATCGCGATGACAAGACGAGTCAGTGATTTTCAACAATTTTAATAATATTAATACAAATTGATAATATATAAGTATAAAATAAACATTTTTCACATATATATATATATATATATATATATATATATATATATATATATATATATATTATATAAAAGTCATTAAATGTTGTTGAGGTTTTAGAGGTGGGTGTGGTTGTACATCGTGCTGGAATGAGATAAATGTTATCATTTTTGTTTTTCCAAATACTAGTTTCAGAATTTTTATCTACTCTTGTGAGCTATCTAAAGTCCCCATTTAAAAAAAAAATAATTTAAATTTGGAAATTCCAATTTTTTTTCTCATAATTTGTACCTGATACACCATAATTTCAGGATATATTTCAAATTAATCTAATAAAATCCAGCCAACATACAATATATATTCACAGAATTGTAGAAAACAATTCAAAATTTGACAAATTACAACTAAAATTTGCATGAAACAAAATTGGTATATATGTACATTTAGATTATGTGACTAAAATTGCATGAAACTAAAATTTCAGGTTATATTATGTGACTAACTGTGTTGCACATTTAGATTGCGGTCAACACTTGCTATAGATTGTACTATTTTAATATTATTGGTTTGTTATGTATGGAAATGTCTACAATTAGGTTCGCTTTTTTTGAAGGTAGTTTGCTATTATCATGTAGTGTGATTTTTATCACATGTCTTTCATTCGACGTAATATACAACCGATGATTGTTACGTAAATGCATGGACCATCAACTGCTGGTAAATGCATTGAAGAAATTACAATTGCTGTTACATTATTATATTTACATCCACAACTCTTACAAGATCAGAATGTATAGTCTACACTACTGTTGCACGTTTATGTCCTATCATATATACTCTAACAAAATCAGAATGTATAGTCTACACTACTGATGACGTTATCCAGCCAACAAGACATTGAATCAAAAAAAGCTCTCGTCAATCAACATTGTTATATTGTTAACATGTGCAGTTGAAAGTCATTGAAACGTCACTAAGTTAGTTGTGGTCTAAATAACACTGTAAAATTCTATGTAGTAGATATTAACACTTATGTCCTGCATGTTGAAGAAGAAATTATTAGTATACATCAACGTAATGCAATTCAAAACTAATGTAATAATATTCTAACAGAGTAATTCATTAAAAAAACAATGTTTCCAAACCATTTTGTTGAGGGAGACAATTATGTGTCGTCAACATTACTGTCAAGTGATGTCAACAACGACACAAAACCAGTGGTACCCAATGTTGATGGCTGCAAAGGGCAACATTTACATGAGTTTTGACATATGACTTTACTGCCATTTTACATAACATATACTGCATAAACAGTATATCAGTCCCACAAAGAAATTCAAATGAATTGCATATCACACTTTAAATAAAGGAAATTCAATTGAACAATCACTATAACATGAAATAAATTTCATTTCTGACACACCAATCCAGATGACCGATAATCAACATGAGTTTCTACGTGAAGGGTTGAGTTTAACAACTCGGACGAAGTTCCTTCAGTGTTCCCCTGTAATGGCGAAGATAAGATATTAATGAACTTATGAAATCATCGCATACAAAATAACATGACAGTTGTGAATATAATACTTACAATATTTGTGGTGCACGTGTGCTGGACTTTATTTTTTAACCTTCGCTTTGTAATTTTTTTGGTTGTTGACACCTTTCGGAGTGAACGTGGTCTTCCTTTCCTTTTAACTTGCAACGGACTTCGAATGTCAATGTCAACGTTGTCAACATATAAGCTTTGTGAATCTGTATGAGTATTACTTTCGCAGATATTGGTATCTATTTCAGTTTGAGAACGTTGAAATGTATGTGTTGGAGCAAATTTATTCATCATTTCATGCAACATGTCCGTCTGGTCAATTGACTCTGATGCAACTTCCGCAATCTCATAAAATCTTTTGCATAACTCATCGTATCATTCAATCTGTGGTTGCTTCTCCTTTACATTGTACGTGGTTTTCATATAAGTATGCTACATCTTTGTTTTCATTTATATCTCCCATGCTAGATAAACGTTGAAGGATACAATTCCTACCATTGACAACAATATAATAGCAACCATCTCCTTTAAATTATATTCATATTACAATACAATAGTTTACCTACTTACATCATGCAAAGATACAAAATCAAACACAAGTTTAGGAGGCATTATGAACCGTATTACAAAGCCTAACCTAAAATTTAGCCACGAAAGTGCCTATTTTATGTAGCTAAAATTTAACCCTATTCATTGTGCCATTTGATCAAACAGTTGGTGACCAGATTTGTATATTGTAACCCAACAAGTGGAAAAACACTTTCAACACCACTTTCATAGCAAACTATTTACAAATTAAACAGACTAACGAACCAATTATTCAACAAAAAATTCATGAAAATTGTAGACTAACATGAACATAGGCACAAAACGAGAAGAATGCACTTACTTGAACCGTAAAAATGCAGCTTAGGAAAAGGATCTCCGATAGATAATGATAATGGAGGAGATTGATGGCGAGAAGAAGGTAACAATCAACAAATTTCTTCAACGTCAATGCTTCTATCGCGCAGATGTGAAACAGGTGACTGTCAGCGTCGCTCACTGATTTTGCCTTTAGGTTACACGTAAGGTCCGCTTGAACGACTTTATTGTCGCTTACATTTAATTATGACAGATAAATTAATATTATAATCTATTAGCATAATATAACCAATCATATACCACTTATAATCGATCATCATAACGTATAATCGATTATAACCTAAAATAATCGATCATTTTATCTGATTTTTCTAATATCGCTCAAGCGAAATTAACATCGCTCGAGCGACGCCACCTGCTAAGATTGGGGATTATCGGGTTGTGTTTCGCTTGAGCGACACTATTCTCGCTTGCACGATATCCGATTCAAACATGTGGTCACCCATGTTACATTATGCGGCTAACTTTGATCGACGTTTATCCCGAGGTCAACATTCGCTCAAGCTAAACTTACATCGCTCGAGCGACACCGCCTACAAAAAATTCGGATTCTCGGGTTGTATTTCGCTTGAGCGACACTAGTCTCGCTCGAGCGATATCTGATTCACTTTTAAGAGCAGTTAAAGTGGAACCGCTATCATATATGTAACTTTTAAGAGCGGTTAATATTTTGACCGCTCTTAAAAGTGAACATATAATAGCGGTTCCAATTTAACCGCTATCTAAAATATACTTTTAATAGCAGTTAGTTATAGAACCGCTCTCTTTAGTATGTTTAGATAGCGGTTCTGGGAACCGCTCTCTAAAGTCCCAATTTAAAAAAAAATTATTTAAAATTTGAAATACCAATTTTTTTTTCTCATAATTTGTACCTGATACACCACAATTTCAGGGTATATTTCAAATTAATCTAACAAAATTCAGCCAGCATACAATATATATTCACAGAATTATAGAAAACAATTCAAAATTTGACAAATTAAAACTAAAATTTGCATGAAACAAATTTGGTATATATGCGGTGGTGAGTGAGTGAGTTCGACTGACAAGTTGGGCAAGTTCACAACCGCGTGAGGAAGGTCGAGGTCGAGGAAGGAATGAGAAAGTTCTGTGCTAGAAAAATGAGAATCGGAGAAGGAGAGATGGACAAAAGAATGAATTATTTAATAATAAAAACACTGTACATTTAATATTTTTTTATTCAGTAACACTGTACATTTATTATTTTTTTATTGGGTTGTCGAACGGATGTTTAAAATAGGTTGTCAAAATATCCGGACTCGGGAAGATATATGCCCTTGCATCATTGGGAAATCTACAAAGGGCTTCTAGTACTCTGAATGAGTTTGAGTTGGCTTATGGAGACTCTGGTCAAGAAGCTGAAGAATTGTTCTGCCCATTTACTTCATTACATCCATTGGTTATGGCATGCTCCAAGAAGGGTTTTGAGACTCTAGATAATGTATATCTTTTCCTATGATGCATATAATTTTTATTGACTCTACTAGTTTTAATATTGGCAAGTTTTCATTTGGAAATAGATTACAAAGTTTATCATTTTTGACATATATGTAGAAAAAAATTCCATGTTGCTATGTCATATGTTACATTTATATTACGTCTTTCAATTGTTGACATGCATGCAACATAGATTAAATTTCTGCCATTATCTATGTAGTTCTTAATAATGATACATTCAACTCCAACTTCTTCTAATCATGCTCTCTTCTATTTAGGTTTATTTTCAACTGGAGAATTTAAACCGTGCAGAGAATCCTTATAAATCCGTTGTTGCTCTAAACTGCATCATTTTAGGATGTGCAAACATATGGGACCTTGATCGAGCTTACCAAACTTTTGAGTCAATTGGATCTAATTTTAGGTTGAGTCCTGATATTCATTCTTACAATGGGCTGATGTATGCCTTTGGGAAGCTCAAGAAGGTGATGATTCCTTCTCCCAACCCACTTTATATATCTTTTTGCTCATCCTATCTACTCCTTTTATTGCCCCCACATTTAGAAAGTTTACATTAGACTTTGAATCAGGTTTTTTCTGGGCTTTGCATGCATGATGTGTGGCATATGCTACCTTCAACCCTATATTTAGGTGTCTTTTGAGAAAAGTTTTCGTTCTTTGTTATAAAACTCCTTTCAAAAATGTATTTTGCAATTTTTTTAAATCAAAATGCCCCTAATTACTTTTAGTTTGTTGTCAATAAACAATAGATGTTGTAGAATAATAAGATAAACTAAATTATCTCTTTCTTGGACGAAGATTGAGAAATATGACTTGCCACAATATTGTCCGATGTAACTGTTAGCAAATAGGTAGAAACATTGAGATGATGAGTCACAATATTTTTAAGGGTAAACTGTTAGCAAATTTAATGCCTCAGACTAAATGAAGCAATCTTTTGAATTCCTATGAATTAGTTAAAATGGTCTTATATATAAGGACAAAAGCAGTATATACGTTCTACTGTCTAACTTTACTTTGTTGTTTCAATTGTTTCTGGGATTTCATAGGATAATAGGAGGGGATGCGTAAGCTAGGTTGGAAGCTGGTGTCGGAGTGGACACCTTTTTTATAGTTTTTTTTGCTGCTTAATTATTATATACTGCAGGCGTTAAAGAAAACTATGTACTACAACAATTTCTCACTTTTTCTGGGCCTTGTACCAACCTCAACCAATTATTTGAGCAACCTTATTTATTTTTATTTTGAAAATCAGAAACAGTTTTTGAAAATAGACAGTATTATCCAGAGCCTAAATCTTAGTTTTCAGTTTTATCTTTGATTGACATTAATTCATGTAATATTCAGTTTTAAATCTAAACAAAAAAGTAAAAATACTAACAAAACAACAAAGTATCAATATCGTCCAGAGCCAAAAGTTTGTCATTAAGGTTGAGATTTCTGGTATACATTCAGTAGTAATGTGGTTTCTTTCTGTTTCCGTAGGATATTGGATATTCCATTTTGAAAGCTTATTCCAGAGTTCTAGCAAATTTAGCCTTCAGCATCCTATTCTAGATAGGAGATATATTGCAGGAGGATTCTTCAAGCAATCCTTCACCTTTGGCGATAGATTGCTCTCGTGGGATAAATCTCTCTCACACTTGGGTGGTTGGTTCACATTTGAGGCAGTCCTTAGTTGACAAGATGAACAAGGATGATGAACAACATTGTGATTCTAGCTATTACAGTACTTCTGATTTAGTCATTGAGTTATTATTTAAAGTACGAATTCTTTTTACTAAAACTTGAAATATGCAGCATAAGAAACACTTTTAACCAAATAGCAAATGAAAAAGGTGTTAGATATGAACAAAAAAGGATTACATTAAAAACAAGGATTACTACTTAGTTTGGATTAAATAAAAGTAATCGTATTAATAAATGTTTTGTAAATGTCATCATTGTTGTGTATATTTCATGCAGAAGCTTATCTTTTTCTTTCCCTTACATATGGATTTAATGCCTCGTAATCAGCTGGAAAAAAAAAAGTTAGTTCATTACATCTTCACCAACTAGTAAAGGGTTTATTCGCTGTCTGGAACCCGAAAGAAAAACAAACAAATTGGCATAACACAGACTTAGGAAATAAAAGTATTGACGTACAAGAAGTCAATAACTAGAAGGAATATTAAATACGTCCATAATCCATGAAAGATGGATTTGAATTATATAGATAGCTAGAAAACTGAGAAAAATTCATGGACAATGGACAAATTTGCACCCGATTTAACTTCATTGGAACGACACTGCAAACACCTGAATGAAATTCAAGAATTCCATTACATTTCTTTTGAGAACATAACAAGATGACATAAAAGAAAATCAGCTAATAGTCCAAGCTAAAGTTTAATCATCTGTTATAACACTGTTGTGCATGTCACAAGAAAAAATGTGAAATGGTAATTTCGTTTACATTGACTGATAAATTTACGAAGTTCTATTACAATGATGAAAAGACGGTTGTATCCAGAGAAAAAAATCTGAATAGAAATCATTTTACATTGATCTAAATATTTGTTAAGTTTTATTTTAATGAAATTCAAATTAATTTACTATATTATCATTTTTGAAAAGGAAAGCTTCTTTGTACTCATAAATAATTCATGAAAAAGAATATAAAGCAGACAACTTATGCACACACCTCACGTGGTAGCTTTCTCTTGCTCTTTCATGTACATCTGAAATATAATCTTCAGCTCCCTGGTATTAAAGGCGAGATACGTGCTAGTCCTGCTAACACTATCACATTTTTCCAAGACAAAAGTGATAGCATCTTCAGTGAGATGCTCCACTTGAAGGGCTTCTCTCAGTTTTGAAACACATTGTTCCAATAACTCCCTATGTAGTTCTAGATAGGGCCTTGAGGGCGAACGTATTTTAGGTGACATTTGTGAGTCCGAGTTTGGTTCACCGAATCCGTTACTCTCACTCTCACGACTGCTCATCGCTTCAAAACATTCAAAAAAAAAATAAAATAATAAATAATATTATTAATTATAATAAAAAAATACAATATAATAATAAATAATTTTATAAATTATAATCAAAATAAAAAAATTTATTATGTAATTTAATAATAAATAATTTTATAAATTATAATAATAAAAACAATAATAAATACAATAATAAATAACAATAATAAATAACAATAATAAATAACAATAATAAATAACAATAATAAATAACAATAATAAATAACAATAATAAATAATTTTATATTATATAGTATTTAATTAAAAAAATTATATTATTACCTCCGTTGGTATGCAGCTCCCCACAAAAAAACAATATAATAATAAATAATATTATTAATTATAATAAAAAAATACAATATAATAATAAATAATTTTATTAATTATAATCAAAATAAAAAAATTTATTATGTAATTTAATAATAAATAATTTTATAAATTATAATAATAAAAAGCAATAATAAAAAGCAATAATAAAAAACAATAATAAATAACAATAATAAATAACAATTATAAATAACAATTATAAATAACAATAATAAATAACAATAATAAATAATTTTATATTATATAGTATTTAATTAAAAAAAATTATATTATTACCTCCGTTGGTATGCAGCTCCCCAAAAAAAATAATATAATAATAAATAATATTATTAATTATAATAAAAAAATACAATATAATAATAAATAATTTTATTAATTATAATCAAAATAAAAAAATTTATTATGTAATTTAATAATAAATAATTTTATAAATTATAATAATAAAAAACAATAATAAAAAGCAATAATAAATAACAATAATAAATAATTTTATATTATATAGTATTTTAATTAAAAAAATAAATTATATTATTACCTCCATTGGTATGCAGCTCCCCAAAATTAAAAAGGTATGCAGTGAATATTAATTAGATAGAAAACTTAATTATATAGTATTTTCATTTCAATGATTTGAGTAAATTATTCAATACGGGACTAATAATAACTAAAACAACTTTAGTCAGTGATAGTCCATCATAAAAAACGGCGTAGAGACTAAAATTTGCACTTTCACTACATAAGAACTAAAACTTTAAATAGAGACAAATATTATCAGGAACAGCTAACCAAGTGAAACTATGAAAGGGAAAGCAGGGGGTGGAATTACCTGAGACTTTGCAAGGGAGAGAAGCTCAGCAGGAGCAACATTTCCTGAATTACATCTCAAGTTTCTACCAGAAGAAGCAAGGTAGTCAGAATAGACAGTGGCTAAAAATGAGGCACTTGTGACAAACTGCATGTTGTTCCATCTCTGGCGGAAGATGAGGCCACCAGGAGTTTTCTGAACATTGCGAGAACCCTTTCCAAGGTATGAGCACATGAAGGATTCAGCCTTCTGATTGAATTTCAAAATTCAAATATAAAATGAGAACATTGACAGTTTGTCCCGAAATACATGGACTTTATCAAATGCATGAATTGTGAATCACGAGACCAATTTTTACAATTGACTGGCACTTACTAACTAATTTCCTTAATCTGATAATGCTTTTGGGGAAGCGGTGGAGGACCCCGAAAATGGGTGACCTTTCTGGAGTGGACTTCTGTCGTGAACAAGTGGTTCAGAGACCCAAGAGGCATGAGCAGCAACTCCACCTCCAAGATTTGCTTGTTTTTCTTTAAAAGATGCCCAAGTAACCAAATATAGACCAGTAATGATAAAAGATCCTCCTATGATGCTGCGACACATTCATGTTAGAACAGAATAATAAGAAACTTCTAAATTACTTTCAATTTGTCATGCTAAAGAAAGAGGAGGAACTACTAGTTAGAACAGAATGCATCAACAACTGGCAATAAAAGGAGCTTTACCTTCCCAAGTAAATTGGACTTCCAAGGAAAATTTGTGACAGGATGGCTGAAAACGCAGGTTGAAGCGGATTGTAAATGGAAACCATGGCTGGCCCCAAGATTTTGTTGCACCATGTAATGAGTCCATAGTTAAGTGCAGATGCAACAGTTCCCTGAACAAATAAGGAAATATATTTGTCAAGATCTTCATGCTAAAAAATCTACCAAAATAATGTATTATAAGATAATCTATCAAAATATTTGTAAGACACATGGGATATCAAAATACCCTCATTGCACTCTACTTCACTAGTTTTCACGCCCCTAAATACAATTTTCAATAAAATCCTCGTTTTGTCCTCCATTTAAAAATATTGCTTCACCAGAAAGAGTAAATCGCTGAACTAACAGCAAAATCCATCTTACTCTCAACTATTGCTGCCCCTAGGTAAAAACAGTGGTGTGGTTTCTGATGGTAAGATGATAGGTACTTGAGTATTATAGGGTACAAAAGTTTCACATTAGGTAGTGTGGATACTCGATACTCCCCCTTACTAGTTAGTTTTTAAGAGAAGGTTCCTCAACTTTTTGAGTGCTTATTGATTAGTAATAGAGCTTTTCACCATGTTTCTTAGCAGGAAACTTGTTGTGAATAAAACTAGTTCTAGGAATAATTGCACTTGAAGAACTAGAACAGAAATAGGGAACCCAAAGACAAGAAAGGTTCGGAGAAATGTGTATTAAGAAGAAGGAAGAATAACAATGAATATCCCAAAACTAAATATTTTCATGCAAGAGCAATAGTTGCATTTATAACCCACTAACTCAACTGTTAACTAACAACTTATTAAAACCATATTTCATAACAAAACGAGCGGCATAGGTAGTGATGCCAGCATCGCAGTGTCTAGCTGAGAGTTAATCAAATGGCTAGTTAACAACCATCTTGCATCGGCTTGAGGACTGGAGCGTGGTGGGCTATTAGGATCTAATTACAAGGTATAGATGGGACTTGAGTCACACATCGAAAGTATGGGATTCTAAAGTAGGATTTATAAGTCCTTGTGCTATCCAAGAGGTACAACTATGAATAACAAAAATCAACTGTACATGATGTCAACAAGAAAGGTTTTAAATATGAACAAATATGTAAAGTGCTTAATGTCTTTCACAAATAGTAAAAGAAAAAACAAAGATATTGTGGAATACTTATGGAGTTTAAACATTCTCATCAATAATCAAATGCAACATAGAATAAGCATAATACCTGCTCGCTGAAGGTAATTGATGAGTAACAACAGAAATGGATTTAGAGTTGAAATAAAAAACAAAAGATGAATGGTGTAAATCGAATTCATTTAGTGTAGAATTCTTTATAATGCCAAACAAAGGTTTTTCACTCCCTGCGAAACGTTTTTAACAATTTTTAAACGGATGACAGTAACACCAAATTATTCAAAAAAATAGTTAAAAAAGTTTCTATACTAATATTATCAAGCTAAAACCCAAGACTAAGATAAACTCGTAAAAGCACATGCAGTGGCAAGATAGAGGAGAACATTTTTAAGGCAACCATACTTAGCAGATAAAAAATAATCTTTATATACTCAAATAATTTTGAAAAACATCTAACAAAGATTGATGCAACCTCCTATCTCATGTAAGACACAACCTTCTGTTTCAAAGTTTTCCAATTTCCATAATACTAAGAGTAGTGCCCCAAAACATGAAAACTTTGATTACTAACAAAGTACGACCATTCATTACAACAATGACTCCACTTCAACAACTGAGAATGCTTTCCTTTACCAGATAGACAACAGTCAACAATTGATAGTCTAATGTGTCGAACAGAAAAATGCAAACAATAAAAAAGGGGCCATTTTTAGAAGACAACTTCAATCATTCAATGAAGCAAGTAGATCAAAATCATAATTAATAACTAAAAAGAGCTCAAGACTGGAATCTGGTTAAAAATTCCAGTGACTCACAGCATAAATAACAGCAAGTACTTCTGATGATGCCAAACTCCAGTCACTTGACTCGGTATTCACGAATGATGACACCGTGACCATCAGTAAAGTTCCGAATAAGTATGAATATGCTGTGACAGATATGTTTGCTGGATATTTTTTTAATACTGGTGCCTGAAAACAGTTAAATGTAACAATTTAAAAACACCAATAATTTCACATGTTAAAGAACCTAAGATCCCAAAATATTAATTGGTTAAGTTAGGAATCAGCACTAATTTGATCAATGAAGAAATTAGGAATGAGTAATGAGTCAATGACCTGATGCTGAGAGTGATGCTATCGACAATTTTATTTACTGCAATAAGCATGAAAAGCCTGGAGAGGTCATCCTATCTAATCTAAGTATATTTATTAAGAGTTTGTTTTGATGCAGGAGGATTGAGGAGAGGGAGGGAAAAAATTAAGTTATTCATAATTCTGCAAACACTTGACCAAAATATTAGGGGACCTTATTTTGATATGCCCCCCAAACTGAAAATAGATGGTCATAGGGAAGTGAAATTCATAGAAAGAATTAGAATATGCAAGAAGTGGTTGCAATAGAAGCAATTATCCAATTACAACTATCCCAGGCCTACACTGTTAATCTAAATCATGAGACATGAAAAGAAGTTGGAATGTTGAAAATTGGCAGGGTATCATAACTTTCTTATCATGGGGATTTAAGTGAAAAGAAGATTCCTAATAAGCAAGAACATATAGAGTCATCTCAGCCTCCCAGGTGAATGGCACAGAGAAGTTGGGACTTGGTAAAAGGGTAACACAGGCAAAATGTGAAATTGATGACTAACTTTTTCCTCTTAATTCTGTAATCAAGCAGTCTCTTAATGAATACTTAAAAAATATAATACCTGAATGGCTAGAAACGCAGCCATACAAATGCAGTTCCCAATCAAGCACAGAACCCCAAGATGAAAACGGTCAAACCCGATAGCTTGTAAAGCACCAATTAACCATCCAGTTGGCTCTGGCTGTCCTTTGGCACTTATTTCATTTTGTGTACCATGATCGATTGGAGCATGTCCTATCAAAGCTGGACCACGATACAAAACCATTAATATGGCACCAGAAACACAGATGATGGTTCCTCCAACTTTTGCCAGACCATCATATCTGGCTAGGTTTACTCTTTCTGTACTGCATGAAAAAGTTTACACAGATGCATGTTATTGTATGACCAGTGTATCTGAATAAGTTTATTAATGTAAATATTTATGCACTACAAGTGAGATTGTGTATTTTTGTTTGAGTTACAGAATACACACGTATACAATTTGAAATGGATAAATAATACAAGAGACATGAAACTGACCCCATCATTACAGCCAACATAAAGGTAAAGACCGGAATGGCCGGTTGTATGGCAGCCGCATAAGATGGATTAGTATAGCTTAAACCAATAAGAAACAAAAGCTGGTTGCCAAATATCCTGATCATGAATCAAGAATGCATCAATAAAGCACCATATCTTTCATATACCGTGGAAATGGGAAATAAGTAGTATAAAGAGCCTCACCCAGTTAATCCAAGAAAGAAGAATGAAACCAGGAGGTTCTTAGTAGTGGGTGGTCGAATCCGTCTACATTCCAACATGGCATGATTAAGATATCCACTCAACAAAAAGAAAAGAATAGTATGACAAGACATAGGAAGGAACAAAAAGTTGCAAGTTACAATTTTAAATCTAAAGATTGAATGTGAAGTACGGTTAAATGTACAGATCAGTAACATGTGCTGCAACACCCACAACAAAAAAAGGTTGTCATCCTTTGATGTATCAATCATGGAACTCCGGAATCATATCCACAACCATGCATTACATTTCTAAAAACAGATTTTAGAATATAATTAAATGCATCAAACATGCAAACAAACGTATAGTCTATATGATATTACTTAAATATTGAGCGTGCACTAAAATTATCAGGCAGAAAGGTCCACATATCAATGAACACGACTGTAAGTTTTCATACAACTAGAATTACCCTACGATCCAAACACTCCAATGGTCATAGAAATATTGTCTTAACACATAACTCAGAGACTCAAAAGCCCAGTTCCCCTTATCTGTAACAAGCACATGCAAACAATCAGACTGTTGCAAACATCACCATCCTTCCAAACTGTGGAACAAGAAAAAGGGCTTAAACATCCAATCCTAACCGATTGAATCCGCAATACTCAACTTTTTTAAAAGTGGAACCGATAAATAAATAAATGGTGAAACCAAAGGCCTGGTTAAGAGGGAGGAATCTCTTTCAATGGCATCCAACCGAGGTAAACAACAGAACAAAAGGGGGCATATTCACAGGATTTGAAAAACATTAAAAACACAATCTTGAATAGAAAAAGGGGCATACTTTTCACGAATATAAGCAAGGGGTGCGAGGATTGAAAGAGCAATGGCATCGCGAAAGACACAGAAGACTAATTGGTTGACGCCAACATTAAGGGCCACTTTGGTGATGACATGGTAGATGCCATTGAAAAGCTGCACCATCGCCATGGCCGTATGGGCCTTCCATATGTCACCCCCCACACCCACTCCAACTCCAGCTGCTCCCATTGGAATGAATCCACTCTCTACAACAACTCCGACACCCTCTAAAACACCAAATGGGGTTGTTGGGTTAGTTCGATCGTTGAAACAGTGATGCCAAAACCAACCGCAATGCTTAGTTCCGAAGCCACTGACACAGAATAAGATTAAACAAACAAATAAGTGAACATTATAAGTGTAGATTGTCTTCAAATCTTGAAGCAAAGGTTGTGGAAACTATGATCGGCTGGGAGATAAGAGTGGATAGTCTCACTCAAATTTCGATTGACTGGACTTCGGCATACAAATTTTTTCTTTTTTTCGGTAATAAAGAAAATGATTTGTTTTTTAATACTCTAATATTGATATGTATTGACTGTGCAAAACTGTTTTATGTGAGTAATCAATCAAAGATCATCATTAATCCAAGTTATAAAATAATCAGTGTAAAAAATTTATTTTGTTTTTTGTTATATGTGAGCTCACATAATAAATATTAATTATCATCATTTAATAATGGATATTTACATAAATACTCAAACAGAGAGACGAATTTTTAATTTTTTAGCAAATTTGTAGTTTATACTAATTAAACTAAAATCAAGTTTTAAATCTGACTTTAATTATCAATAGGGAATTTTAGAAAACCATAGTAATAAATAGATGTGAGAATTAGAATTGAGGGTCGGGTAATATAAAAATAAATAATATATATATATATATATATATATATATATATATATATACTCGTTATTTGATAGAAAAATATGTTTATTTTAAAAAAAATTAATTAATTAACTAATTAAATATTTATATAATTACAAGTTAATAATTTTTTAAATTAATATCTTGTTTTTTTAATACTATATATTTTGATATATAATAATCAAAATTTATTTTTAATATTTGAGTTTTAATTAAAAATTAATATAATACTAAAAAATATGAAATATTGTAAATTATTTATTTAAGTTTTATAATGAATAACATGATTAAAAACCAATATATACGTGAGTCATTGTTAATATTTAAATGTTTATATTTAAAAAAATTAAAAAAAATTATAGATATAAAAACAAATTTATTATTTTATTAAAGATAAAATAAATATAAGTATAATTATGTAAATCTAACTTCAATTAAATTTTTACATATTATTAAAATAAAAATTAGAAATAATTATCACTGTAAAGTTTTTTTTATTAATTCCATAGAGGAATAGTAGTACACTTCATTGTATTTTTTTAAAATATTTCAATAGAATGTTATTTATCATTATATATATATATATATATATATATATATATATATATGTGTGTGTGTTGTATTAAATATAAAAAATTTTAAAAGTGGTAAAATACGTAAAAAAAAAAGTATTTATATATATTCAATATATCTAATTGATAAGTACTAGTAAAGTAACTTGAACATAAATATAAATATTTTCTTAAATACTTTAAGTAAAGTTTTGATAACTATTTTTGAATAAATTTACAGCTAGAGATATTTATAAATGAAATATAATTTTAAAATTTATCGTTTATATGAAAATTTTTATTTGTATTCCGTGTAAAATGTTACCTTACACGTTATTTTTCAACACCTTTATGAACCACGTATATAAATTGTTTCATTGAGAGGTTTTAAGTTTTTAATATACATGACAAAGCGTTCAATCTCAATATCTCAGCAAGTGAAGAAAAAACTAATTTGTATTCATATATTCTAATAAAGAAAGGAGAAGAAAATAATGTTGTGTAATTGCGATAAAAATTCTTCTAAAGCCGTAAAAATCTCAATGCTAAGAAAAATGCAAAACAGAGAGAAAATATCATCATGTCTCTGGCTAGTATGTCTTATAATGCAAACACATCATCATTTCTGAAGAACTTTTCATTAGAAGAATTAAGTTTTATTATTATTATTATTATTATTATTATTATTATTATTAAACAATAGTTATTTTTGGATAAAAAGAATAAAGGAGGAAATAAATTTGGAAGAGAGAAGAGAAAATAAATTTCACCTAACAAATTAAATATTTTAAAATTAAAAGATTGTTATACGTTATCAACTATTCAATTAATCAATTTTAAAATAATAATTAACTTTTCAAAAAAAAATACTTAGTTTTTTTACCAAAAAATTACATATAAATTATTTAATCGATCACATTTTACCTTTTTTTAATTTTGAAAAATAGCTAATATTAGGTACCCATTAAAGTTACTACTAAAAAGTTTTAAACAGCTTTTAATGTCCAATTTGTTTGGAACATACAAATGGGAGAAAAAATGTTTTTTTTGTCCGAACCGAAATAAAATAAAAATAGAGTAAACTTCATTAATATTTATTTTAATTATTTATTTATTTTCATTCAAATATTTTTATTTTCCTTTTAACTTTTTTAATTAAATAAATACTATCAAATTTTTTTATTTCTGATTTGTTTTTATTCATTTTGTGGTTTTCATTCTTCTTACTTGTTTGGTTTTTTATGAAACATACATCTCAATAGAACAAAACATTTAACTACATCTTATATTGAACGGTGAAAAAATCTAACACTAAACTTTGAATATACATCTCAAATTTCCGAGTATGTCAAAATTTAAAAAATACAGATACCATATTACATTTTTCACAATAAGACTTCACTCAAACAAACTACTCTCACATCTACATGATCAAATACAGACACGTACCATTTAAAATTTATAACAAGAACAGATTCAAGAACCACGAGAGAATGATAAGAAGAATAAATTCAAGAATCAGTCTTCACGGCACATTGTCATTCAACCATTCATTTGATGAGCTTGGCTTTGATAGTGAATTGGAGGATCCTGAATTCTGATATTCACCTTTTTCATGAATAAGTGGTTCAGAGATCCAAGAGCCATTAGGAGTAACTACAAAAGTTTTTTGTTTCTCTCTATAGGATGCCCAAGTAACTATATAGAGACCAGCAACGATCAAAGATCCCCCTAGGATGCTATCATCACATGGACCACAAAATAAGAACAAGAACAAAAATAAGCTTCTAAATACAATAATCTCAGTGCAATGCAATAGAAAAGTTGGAACTTCCATAGGTTTCAACTAGATATTGCATTTTATTAAGCTTTCAATTCTTCCATTTTCACTCCTTAAAATTTAACTTTTATACAGTGACGGTGTCTCTGCATTGTTTATACTTTTTTTTGTAATGTTTTAGTCTTACCCTCGACAGTGGTGAGTGTAGGTTTATAGTGGCATGGTGAAGTTAAGTTAGAAAAGAATGCATCAATTTGTTGAAGTGGTAGAAGTATACCTTCCCAAGTAAATTGGAGTGCCAAGGAAAATTTGGGACAGGAAGGCAGAAAATGCAGGTTGAAGCGGATTATAAAGGGAAACCAAAGCTGGCCCCAAGATCTTATTGCTCCATGTAATGATTCCATAGTTAAGAGCAGATGCAATAGTTCCCTGAACAAATAAGGAGACTTTTTTGTCAAAATCTACATGTTAATAAAGCACCAAATAATCCATGAGAAGGTGAGTCAATTAAACCCTATGCAGGAACTCAACATAGAAGACTTTCAAATATTTTCATCCCTTAATTGCTTAATTTCAGTGGTTTGTTTTCCGCTTTCATATTACTTAAATACAATTTTCAGTGACACAGACGTGATCTTTGACTTCTGTGCTACACTGCCACTCATTTTTGCTCTGCATTTAACAGTTATGATTGAACAATAAGGTAGAACAAATGGTTGAACAATAACATCACACCAAAATCCCATGTTATTCTCACGTCTCTCAAACATTGATACTATCAGGTAGAGCAGTATTGTGGCTGTTGCCAATAAGGTCAATACCAGCTTTGCTTCTTTTTTAATACCAACATGTTAGTAAATAAACATAGACACGAGAATTGAAATATCAAATTGAGATCTTACAAAAAAAAAGTTTTCTGTAATTATATTTGAAGGATTTCATGTTGTTAGTGATGTCTCATTGTCAACTGAACAAGCTAATAAACAATAAAAAAGGGTTTAGAAGACAATATAAATGGTTTCATGAAGTAATGGACAAAATTATCAGAAATGACAAATAAGAGTTCGTGCAATGGAGACTAATTTAAAATTCCAGTGACTCACAGAATATGCAACTGCTAGTATCTCTGGTTGCCTCAAAATCCAGTCAGTTGACTCGTTAACCATGAAAGATGATGCAATCACCATCAGTGCAACACCAAAGAAGAATGAATATGTCGTGACGGATAGATTAGCAGGATATTTTTTCAATATTGGTGCCTGAAAATAATGAATTGCAATATATTAAACATGGCAACAATCTCAGAAATCAAATAACTGAATATCATAATAAATCAGTTCACAAAACGATGTAATTATAAGATTGCCCTTTTTAGCAATAAGTAATGTCATGTGAGAATCATTGGAAAACTAATGATAAATTTAATCCAAAGAATTGAAAAGAAAAATGTGAAAAAGTCAAAAACTAATGATAAATTTAATCCAAAGAATTGAAAAGAAAAATGTGAAAAAGTTTTGTGAAGTTGTCCAATATCAAAGTGTGATTTTATTAAGGGTATATTAGGAATAAAGGGAAACGAAAACGATACTTTGACAACCAGGAAAAAAACATCCGTTCGACAACTGGGGCCAAAAGTAAATTATTTGAAAATAAAGGGTTTGATTAGAAAATTATAAGAGTCAGAGATGCAATATTGTAAAAATGGAGGGATGAATTTGTAAAAAGTGAAATATATGTTTTCGTTACAGTATTTTCCTCTCGCTCGACTTAGGGTAACCATCGTTCACGGCGTCTTCCTCTCGCTTGTCTTCCTCCGTCTCGTTCGAGCTTTGTGTTGTTGAACATCACTGTCTCTCGCTTGAGCGACCCTGCGGTGAGTGTTCGTGCTACTCCATTTGCTTTATTTTCTGTGTATTTTTTATTGGGTTTCTATTGTTGCTTTCTTTTCTGTTTATCTTTGATTGGGTTTCCATTGTTGTTTTCTTTTCTGTTTATCTTTGATTGGGTTTGTAATGAAGGTGTTCTTCAGGGTTTAGGGTTAATTGAGTTGTGATGCTATATTAATGTCGAACAAGTGTTTGATGAAATGCTACAATGAAGAATTGTATTTGCGCATTGTTGCTTTGTTTTCTGTTTATCTATGATTGGGTTTGTAATGAAAGTGTTCTTCAGGGTTTAGGGTTAATTGAGTTGTGATGCTATATTAATGTCCAACAAGTATTTGATGAAATGCTACAATGAAAAATTGTATTTGCGCATTGTTGCTTTGTTTTCTATTTATCTATGATTGGGTTTGTAATGAAAGTGTTCTTCAGGGTTTAGGGTTAATTGAGTTGTGATGCTATATTAATGTCCAACAAGTGTTTGATGAAATGCTACAATGAAGAATTGTATTCTCGCATTGTTGCTTTGTTTTCTGTTTATCTTTGATTGAGTTTGTAATGAAAGTGTTCTTCAGGGTTGATCGATGTCGTACTCGGTCAAATAATTAAAATAGATAAATATAGTACTAGGAAGCTTTCCTAGGTCGTCTCCCAAAGATCATGAATTTCTATCAAAGCTTATCAATTTTTAAAATTAGAACAGTAACAAAAAAAAGGGGAGTTTTTCAAAATTAAAATATTAGATGAAACAGAACAAAAACAGATTATAAAAATGCGGATTAAAAATAGATTAAAATGCAATTGATTTCTTGATTCTAATGCAGTGTCACTTATCCTAGATTACGAAATTAATTCGAAATTAACTAACTAAGCGAAGATAAATCCCAAATTATATTCTAATTCGAAATTAATCAACTAAGCAAAAATTAATCTCAAATTAGCTTTAACCCTTGTTCCAATATGAAATTAACCAACTAAGTGAAGATTAATCCCAAATTTTCCTTAACCCTTATTCCAACATGAAATTAACCAACTAAGCAAAGATTAACCCTAAATTATCCTTATACAATTAAGCATTGCATACATCACATAATCTCATCTCTAACACAAAATTAAGCAAACTGTGATATTAGTTTCGGTTTATTAAGCATAAACAGATTATAATTCAACACTGAGATTAGAAGATGAAGAGTTAAGAGAACAAACAAAATGAAATTGAAGAACAAAACCTCAAAGATCTACTTGCATTCTTCTCAGAAAATCAATACAAAGATTTAGCTATCCATGGAAAGTTGAAAACGCAATAGAAGAAACATAATTAAAATCGAAATAAGAATTTAAAAATAATGACAAAAGAGTAAACAAACTTGAATATAAATTGCAGAAGATGAAAGGTGGAAGTGTGGTGGCTGCGTAGTCCTTGTGTGATGTGTGTCTTCTGATGTGTTATGTGCCTCTCTTATATAAATAACCCTAACCCTAATCTTTATTGAGGTTTGGGCTCAACTGGTCCATGAAACACATCATAAGTTGGCTTTAGTGCAGGTCCGTGAACTTCAAACATGTGCAGTATTTTCAATACTCATCCAAATTAAGCGATTTCGGTATCCTTTGAAATCCTTTTGAGTTAGCTTTAAAACGCCACCATTTTTACTATTTTTGGAGGTCTAATGAATTTAGGAGACTTAAATTACTGAAGCATGTCCATTGGGCCGGCCTGGTGCGCTTGACCCGTGTTGGATAATTTATGTAAAATCCAATTTATCTCCGAATTGAATGATTTTGGATCCTATGGAAAGCTGAATGTGTCTAGTTTATAATTTTTTGAAAATAATGATTTTTTGAGATCTGTAGAAAAAATGATAAATAAAACAGTAAACCAATGTTAGTACTCATATAGAATAAAATATGACATTTGACCCAATTTTCCAAGCCCAAAATTGCTTTAAACTGTAAAATGGCATCTAGCCCAATCTTCTAGGCCCAAAATTGCTTTAACTGTCCTAAAATTAATAATGAGAAAAAATTAGATCAAATAGATTTAAATTAATTAAAATCTAATTATTGGCTCAATGAAGCCCAATTAATAAAAATTCACTAATAATAGAAAGTTAAGCCCAAAACACTAATTAAAATAAGTTCAGAAAGGGAAGAAAATACGGGAATATAATGACTCATCAAGGGTATAGGGTTAATTGAGTTGTGACGCTATATTAATGTCCAACAAGTGTTTGATGAAATGCTACAATGAAGAATTGTATTTGCATCACAAACATTTTGTATAATATGCACAAGATTTACACCCACGTTTGCATAATACACAATTTCACCAAAATTATGTGTAACATTCTTGGACTAAATTTTTATTTTTTAACTATTTTGTCATTGTAAGTTTAATTTTAGTAATTTGTAACATGATTAGTTTGGGAAAAAATGTCTGCAAAAAGAGACCGTCATGAAGACAAAAAGGTATGTGTATGTTATGGGCCATGATAATAGATCACGAAAACCAATTGATAGAGTTATGGTAAATATTTGTTTTAAGTTGTCTACGTAGGTAATATAGTTAATTCAGAGCTATGTTTATTTGGCGAATAATGTAATATTGTGAACAGTTGCAATGTTTTGAACATCTATTGTCGCTGTTGGAAACAAAGTCATCGAGGACCACTGGAGAACTTAAGGTTACAAAGGAGGACTTGCCAATTCAACCAAACATGTTAGTATGTTATTATAGTTGAAATTTTGTTTGCAAAATGTTGTATGTAATGTGTGTAATAACTACATTCAATTGTACATGTATGATTGTGGATTGTTTGTTTTAAAATATATGGAGTTGTGGGATGGTGTGAGCAAAGTGAATGGGAAAAGCATGCCTCATTACACATCGGTAAACATTAAAGTCATTGTATTATTGTTTTGTTTTTAATTACTATGAATATAATTTATTATGACATTCTTCATATTGTACAGGAGCAAGTTCAGAAATTTCGAGAAGAATATGTATGCAGATGGGTACTTCATCCTCAAAATCTTCATCGACAAGTCATGGTTATTGAATCAGGAGTTAACATCCTCATCTAGGAATAGAAATGTAGATATTGTATTTGATTATTTGTTCATCTTCATTGATGAATGTTGTACAATTTATTCATATGTAATATAACTGTTAAGTTGGTTATGGATCATTTAAATGTTAAATATTATGACATTAACAAGTGACTGATTTTTGGACCATGGTTACTATTTTTTGTATCATTTTTTTTATTTTGACAATTACATTATTGATTGGGTTTTACCATCCCAGTTGCACAATATCCCTATTCAGATGATGCAGACTATCTCCATGTAACAGAGAGTGTATATTGAGAACCACAGTTGTACAAAATATATTTAATTACTACCAGATTTATATTTTACGAACATATGAAGATGAAGATGCTCCTCTATAGTATTAACTGTTAAAGGGCAAGTTGGATTGGTTGATAAGGGTAGAACTATCCTCATACCACATACTTGGATGATATATGGAGTGTGGCCACCACCCACTCTCACTGCTCAAGTAAACATCATAGTAACATCAACAATCGACCAAGTATAACTTAGTTCCACAAAACAAAATGGTCATTAATTTCCATTTGAATTTCTGATGGCAAGATGTAGATATGTAATATAAAAGAAGAAATTCAAATTAAGAGAACAAGGGAAGAGAACAATATAAACTAACATATGGAAATTGTACAAGTGATAAGATTTATTGTAGGAAAGATGTATATGTTTACGTATAATCTTTGTACATAACAGATAACTTCATGCTTAATAGTTGTAAAGAATGCGCTTAACAAAAAACAGATTGAAATTTGCATGTCACGTCTCATTCAAGTTCAGCCTTGGCCACAAACGAAATATCCAATGCAGTTAGCCACATTCTGTAACAAGGATAACCACATATTTGAATCACTTGCCACTCGACCGAGCATAACGTCGCTTGAGCGAGAAACAACCCGAGAGTCCCTATTTTTTGTAAGGATACCTCGCTCAAGCGATGGATTTCTCGCTTGAGCGAGTGTTGGCCGTAGACGAAACGTCCAACGTAGGTAACCACATAATATGACATGGGTCACCACATATTCGAATCACTTGTCGCTCGAGCGATCATAACGTCGATTGAGCGAGATAGAACCCGAGAATCCCCATTGTTTGAAGGTTTTGTCGCTTAAGCGATGGTTTCGTCGCTTGAGCGAGTGTTGACCCAATGACGAAACGTTAAACACAGTTAGCCAAATAATATAACTTGGATCACCACATATTAGAAACACTTGTTGCTCAAGCGTTCATAACGTCGCTTGAGCAAGACAGAACCCGAGGGTCCCCTTTGGTTAAGGTTCCATCGCTCAACCGATGTCATCCTCGCTTGAGCGACTGGTGAACCACAGACGAAACGTCCTACGCAGTTAGCCATTTAATATAACTTGGTTCACCACATATATGATTCAACTGTCGCTCAAGCGATTACATAGTCGCTTGAGCGCGACTGAACCCGAGAGTCCCCATTGTTTTGAGCGACCTTAGATAGAGATTAATAAGAACCGCTTTTAAAAATATATATTAGATAGCGGTTAGCCTTAAACCGCTGTCTAACGTATGTTTATAATAGCGGTTTTTTTATAACCGCTCCCTTATATCATACTTTTAAAGAGCGGTTGACCCTTGGAACGCTATAATAAATGTAGTTTAGATAGCGATTGGTCAAATAACCGCCATCTAAAGTCATATATGTCAAAGTGATCGACTATAATTGGATAATAATCGATCATAATTTTTGATAACCGATTATAATTGAGAATGATCGATTATAGTTGGAGAACATCGATCATAGTTTGTGCTAAGCGATTATAGTTTTACATAATTTCGCTCTGCATCTCTCTCGCCGGCGCACGCAGAAGAAGCATATAGCAACCATCAAGGTTAATGTATTATTTGCTTTCTAATTACTCGCAGATTCTCTGTTCTCTGTTTTCGTTCACTGTTGACTATCTCAATAGTTGTAAACATAAACCATGGCTGGCAAAAGAAAAAGCTCCAAGCGCACCCACTCAGAAGCGACTTCTTCAAGTACCCAAACTGTGACCACGAAGGAGGTGATAGCCCCAAAGGTCCTTGACACCCAATACTTTGTTAATAACGTATTTGACTTCATTAGCAAAATATAACCGATCATATACCACTTATAATCGATCATCATAACGTATAATCGATTATAGCCTAAAATAATCGATCATTTTATCTGATTTTTCTAATATCGCTCAACCAAAATTCACATCGCTCGAGCGACGCCACCTGCTAAGATTGGGGATTCTCGGGTTGTGTTTCGCTTGAGCGACAATATTCTCGCTCGAGCGATATCCGATTCAAACATGTGGTCACCCATGTTACATTATGCGGCTAACTTTGATCGACGTTTAGCCACAGGTCAACACTCGCTCATGCGAAATTTACATCGCTCGAGCGACACCACCTGCAAAAAATTGGGATTCTCAGGTTGTGTTTCGTTTGAGCGACACTAGTCTCGCTCGAGCGATATCTGATTCAAACATGTGTCAATTTTAAGATATATTTTCACTTTTAAGAGCGGTTAAAGTGGAACCGCTATCATATATGTTAACTTTTAAGAGCGGTTAATATTTTGACCGCTCTTAAAAGTGAATATATAATAGCGGTTCCAAGTTAACCGCTATCTAAAAGATACTTTTAATAGCGGTTAGTTCTAGAACCGCTCTCTTTAGTATGTTTAGATAGCGGTTCTGGGAACCGCTATCTAGGAATGGCAAAACGGTCCAGCCCGCCCCGCCATAATTTAAAAAAAATAATTTTTTTAATAAATTTAATAATAAGATTATTATTTGTTTGTCAATAATTCAATATATATATATATATATTATTTCAATTTAATAATATAAATCAATATATTATTTTAAGAAATTATAATTTAGAACAATAATAAAATTTACATAATAATAAATAATATAAATAACGTTAAACTTATAAAATTTATATTTTTTATATTAAAAAATTCAAATACCTATATCTTTTTTATTTGATAAAACTTCATATTATATTTGGTTGAGTAATTCTTATACCTTTAATTCAAGTAATAAGGATAAATATAATCAAGATCTTAGGATAAATAAGGAGAACAGGAGAGAATGTTATATTTCGGGAAGGAGAATATTTTCTCGTGAGAATGAAACTTTTTTAATTCTCTTTTTAAAATTTTTAACTTTATATATTATCTTTATAATTAATTTTATTACAATAAAAAATTATTTTTTTATTAATTAGGCGGTGCATGGCTCACTCGCCTAGTCCTGCGGGTTGGCCTGACGGGTTAGCAGGCTAGCGAGGCAGGCCAAAGCGGCCAGTGGACTGAAAACACTAACCCGTCCCGCCATATTATGGCGGGTCGGCACAGCCGCCGGCCTTGCCCGTTTTACCATCCCTACTTGTGAACTCATCATGTTTTTTTCTTCTTTAAATTTTTGTCCATACATTATGAGGTGTCAATTTTCCTGCACACAGTTGTGATGAAAATTTGTATCTATATGAACTCTGATTTTGGGTAGTTTTGTCTTCTACAAATATGCTTTCTTTTTAAATTGTAATCCTACGTTCAATTCTCAAATTTGTGGATCTAGTGAATATATAAAATTATACGTCATACTTTACTTCTAATATCATTAAACAAGTTAAACTGATAATAAATAATGAAAAATTTAATTTTTTTTAATAATGATATACATTCACAATATACCTTTAAGAAGATGATTAAATTAAATATTTTTTATAAACTGAGTAAATAAAAAATATTATTAATTATTTTATTATATTTAGTGGCATTACCATTACATATTTTTAATCGAGTTATATTATATTTTCTAACTTTACTAATTATTTATTACTTATTATATCACTACATAAATCTTTTTCAAAATTGCTTTTACATTATTTTATTGGCTTTAAATTTTTAATTTTAAAAAATATATTTTTCCAAACAGTTTATATTTTATTTATTTCAATATTTTAAAAATTAAAATTAATTTTTCACGTTGTAAAAATTGAAAAAAAAATCAAATTACACCATGCAATTGTTATTAACTATTACATATGGTAACTTTATATAAATAAACTTATTGAGAAGACGTGTGCTCCATGCACTGAGACACCTTCACATATCCTCTGGTAAACCAATACCTTTTTTTTTTTTTTTTTCCTCTACCTTCACATAATAACACCAATCTATACTTGCGTGTACTCTTTTCTTTTCATCTCTCCACTTCAAATCTACCCAAAGGAGCATGCAAGTTATATACTTCTTTTTTTTTTCTTTAAAGAAATGGGATGTGTCATTGTAATTATGTGGTTGCAAGAGTTTTCACACTTCCCCATTAATTCTCGTGATGCATAGAATATTTTCCTATTTTCCTCAACTCTAAGTACTTAGTTCCTCACTCAAATCAGCTACACTATCGTAGGTAGATGATGATGATGGCAGAGGAATCTAACACTAAATGGGAAGGTAAAGTCATGGCTGAGCTACCAAGGACGGATCCACAACTAACATGGGAAGCCTTAGAAGATTTCTGCAACCTACACAAGTGGTTTCCCATAGAAACATGTTACCATGTAGAGGGTGTTTCAGGTCAACCTGGACTCATCCGCTATTGTGCTTCCACTGTTGAAGAAGAAGGGGTTGGTGTTGATGCTGAGAAGAAAACAACCATCAAGTGGGCCAAAGAGAAGCTACTTGAGATAGATCCTATTCAACGCTGTCTGTCCTATGAAATCGGTGAAAACAACATGGGATTTAAGTCCTATGTTGCTACACTGAAGGTGCTGCCCATCAACCAAGATGGATCCAAGATCGAGTGGGGGTTTGTCTGTGATCCTGTAGAAGGGTGGAGCTTCCAGGATTTGAAGTCATATTTTGAATCTTTTGTGGAGTTCATGGCCAAGAAGATTGAAGTTGCATATAACACAAACTAGGTAGATTGATCTTGGTGACAACATGCTGATTTGACTACCCTTTTCATCATTTCATATTTTTTGTTTAACTTGTTCTTATGTTTGAGTTTCATCACTTTGGATCTGATCAGTGTTGATCCATTACTTCTTCAATTTCTTGTGTGTGATTCGACTGGTTTCATGTGTGTTTCTTCAATTGTCGTTACTATTGCGCTGCTTTGTCTTATGGTTTCTGCCATTTTTGTTTTTATATTATTGTTCACTTATATATATATATATATATATATATATATATATATATATATATATATATATGGACTTGAGAATAACAGTTTGGACGTCCTTCTATATTACTAAAGTCTTGACAGTTACAAGTAACTTTTATGTTTTTTTTTGTACTTTGATTAGTGGGAGCAATAACTTATTATTATTGTATAAAACAAATTCTGCTAGAATCTAAATAAATAAAATACATTCTCCAGAAATAGAAATGAATGTGTAAATAAATCAAATAAATAATTTTTTTAAAAACAAATAATCTTAATAATTTAAGAAGCAAGAAAGTAGACCTGTTTGGACAATTTTTGTATAAGCACTTCTAAAATTAAAAGAAAAATCAAATAGACGTAATTAAAAATTATATAATAAATTAATCTTAATTCATAAAGAAACTTTTTTTTTAATTCAATTTAATGATTTCCCACCTTTGATCAATGGTGTTAATAGTTTCTTTGTAATTGAATCTTAAATCCAGTTTTTGTTCATTTGTCATTTTTAACGTTGTTGAACACAATTTTTTACTAAATTATAGTGACAACTTATCTGTTTTATTATTTTATTATTTTATCCGTGCATGTCCGTTTCCTGTTAAGAGAAGAAAATAAAAAATATATATAAAAGAAGTTCAATCAATTGATGAATAAATTAAAAATGTTTTTTTTTGGGAGAAGAAAATGTGAAAAAGACTTTTAATATTAATTTACAGAAAATAATATTTTATTTTATTTTCTCTTACGTGTATTTATAAAGAAATGTTGTACCATTATATAAAAGCTGGTAACCCTTAGGATGTTCTTTATGAAGTAGTTTTAAGTAGAATTTCTTAAAAGAATTAACTTTAACTTGTTTGAAATTATTAGTTCATGCAGAATCGAACATTTCGAACGATGCACGCAATCGGGAACGTAGCGATGGATTAAGAGAGAAAGAAAAACAAGGTAGTAGTAGATTATGGAACAGTGTTGATTGATATGAGGTTGTCGTGTTTTGAAGGTTCTTCTCTTTCCTTCGGTCCACGGTCAAGCAGATGGAGGAGCATGCTCTCTCAGTAAATTATACATTTGAAGCATCTTCTGCATTTTTTTAAGCCTTTGCAGAATGGCTTTCTCTTATTTGGACAACATTTTAAAAAAAATATAGGTGGTTTTAAATTATAAAATCTGTTATCAATATTTTGTGAATTTTAATATCGTTAATTAATCAAGAGATGATTTATGAAATCGTCTAAAAGTTCGGAAGACTTTTATTGGAAAGATTAGGTAGATTCATACCTGTATTATTTATTCGTCCACCCATATATAATATTTTAGAGTTTGTTTTGGCAACATGTCACTTTCTATACAGAAGTCTGTCCTTTCAAACCAAGACTTTTACTCAATTTTATATCAATCAGTTTTGCTAAAAAACTAATCTTTACAATTTTATTTTGATTAGGTTGTAGTTCTTGTAATCACATTTCATGTAAGTCTTAAGCAAATTGCAAATTGCATATAAACAATAATGAAAATCATAATATCAGAATGGGAAGTTTATGGCAAATCATCATTTATATATATGATGAAGCTATTTCCTTGAAAAAGACTTTGTATGAAACTAGAGAGAGAGAGAGAGAGAGAGAGAGGCCATGATAGATTGAAAGAATGGTGGATCTAAATTATTGAGAGATGAAAAAGCTACTAAGATTTAGGTCTATTTAATGTACAAATTTGTTGATAAAACAAAGATGTTCACAGAATTCATTTATATATGAATAAAACACCCTAAAACGAAAGAGTGATAAATAAACCTATCTGCATCCGCCTCCCCATTTGGCTGGGCGACTGAATTTTCTAGAGTTATCAAACTTGGCATCCATTGTGTTTTTTGTTCTTCGTGTGAACTTAACCCCCAATTTCTTTTACATTTTCAAATAGTGAATAGTCTCTTTTCCATCCAGTTGATAATGTCTTGAGCTATCTCTTCACGCTCAGGCTCAAACAGAAGGTCGTGTAAGAAACCATCATAAAGCTTTATGTCTTTGAACTTTGAAGCTGCCCTGTCATATAGATCTTGTGAGGCCAGTGGATCAGTAACCTTATCAGCAGTTCCGTGCAGGACAAAGAATGGTACAGTCACAGAGTTGAAGTTTCGCATTAGATACGAGGATATCCGCAGTATTTCATGCCCAGTTCGGACCCTAATAGGTCCTGTGTACACCAAAGGATCAGAGTACTTGGCCAACAACGCTGCTGGATCCCTCGAAACTGGAATGCCCCTTTTGTTTGCTCCTTTGAATTGGAGCCTTGGAGCCACCAGAGAAAAAATTGGAGCTACAGCCTGCATCAACACATCAAATGAGTCAATGCACAGCTAATGTTAATTTCAACAACATGCACAGCATACAAATGCAAAACTTACCCCAACAATTGGATGTGCTGGCTTCACACGTAAAGCTGGCGAGGTTAATATAATTCCTTCCACCATTACTTCAATATGAGGATTGGAAGCCGCCTAAACAGAATTTGCAGAGATTAAATTTCCAAATTAAAAAAAGACAAATTTAATCCCAAAAGGTGCACAGAAGATTTCAGCCCTTACTTTCAACACCACAGCTCCCCCAGTGGAGTGACCAAACAGAAAGCATGGTATTCCAGGATTCTCTGATCTGATCTTTTCCAGGAAAGCCCCCTGCTCATGACATTACTATCAGTAAGCAAAGTACACAGCTAAAATCACTGACTGACATGTCAAATGCAATATATCTATCTCCAAAGGAAAACAACCAAAGAATAGCACAAATATTTGAAATTGTTGTTAATAGAATTGTTAAATTGCAATGAAATTGAATAACAGAAACAAACTTACTGTTCTAGAGAGAAAGATCAAAATATTAGTAAGCCAAAGCAAAATGATTTTCAGAAATATCAAAATTAACCAAACATATTTTTGCATATACCCATAAATAACATCCCCGTTATAATATTTTCGGAAATGAGTTCCCTGAGAATATAGAAACAAAACTTCAAACAAACGCCCCCTTAGGAAGTATCACTGCCTCATTCTCTAAGAATAAAAAGTAAACATGTACTTGCAATATCTCTGTCCCAATGTTTAAAAGAGTGGAAAAACTATTGATGTCCAAAACGGTTTTCCATTCAAGAACTGTCACCAACAGGTTAATATAATACAAGTCTATATTCACACAAGAACATGATTTTAACTGAAGAAAGTAGGAATATACATACTGTATCTGCAACCACATGATCAAGAGAAGGAACATAACCATGCAATCCATCACTACCTCCATGACCTGTAACAATAGAACAAATCACTTCAGGTCCATCACAAAATGATAAGGACATAATTTTACTGTTACTAAGTCTAAGATAGATCCATTTGATTAAAAAATGTGCGAACGGATGAGGATCACAAGGGATCGAATGGGAAAATAAATCTTAAATTACCTATCCAGTCCATTGCATAGACAGCAAAGTTGAATGATGTTAATTTCCTTGCAAATTCCGCATATCTTCCACTGAAAAATGAGTACTAAGTCAGAAGAGAGAGGGGATGGAGGATATTCCTAATTAGAAATATTTCCTCATATTTGAAAAAATGAAAGGAAATATTTAAATGTATTGGCAATCGCTTGAAAAAACAAATTTTGGAAAAACTGAAGGCAGATTAAACTAGTTCCACGATGAAAAACATCATAAGTCCTGAAAGATAGCAATTTAAAAAGAAAAAAAGAAAAAAAAAAAGACAAAGACAAAGCAATTAAGCAAGATTACCTGTGTTCATTAAGCCCATGAATGATGATCAGAATGCCCCTGAAAGAACAAAGAAAATAAGTTGAGAACAGAAAGTTAGCTTCACATGCTAACAAGAAAAGAGTCAGGGAATGAAAATCAAGAAAAGAAAGCACAGTCAATATACATTCGTTAGACTGTCTAATCCATCATGTCGAAAAAGGACACAAAACAACTGAATCCTGTGAACACGACTATTAAAAATCTGTGAAGCTTATGTTTTGCTGTTTGTAAACAGTTCAATAGTAAACCTATGAGTCAATAATAATGCACTGCAACACAATAATACACAAGCAAATTTCATTCCAGTCAGCATGGAGAACAAACAAATTCTACAGCCCATTTTCTTTTTAATTTTTGAGTCTCAAAATTTCAATCACTTATATAATTCATCTCAGTTTGTCCAATTACTCTATATCCCCTGTAGAGGACCCAATTCTAGATAAACTTGACTCACCCCAGCTCAATTCCAAGTTCTCTCACTGGAACGACAGAAAAACTAAAACAACCCCCGAAATGAAACCACGAAACTTGCTTGAAAAATTTCCTCTCTTACAACGCCAATTACTTAAATCAAGCTACAGTGGACAAAAACCATTTCTAAATTTGAATTTTTAGGCATTCACTATTACCCTGAAACGGAATTACCGAATTTTAATGTGTTGAGAACTTAGAGCTAAATCTCTACCTCTAGAATTCTTAACATGTACACAAGGGGCTAAGAAATGGAGAACAGAACGCACAGATACAAGAGTTCGTTGAGCAACACAGTTTAACAGAATTCCGTTAAAACAAACGGAGAAGACGTGTTGCAATTGCCAAACGTAAAGTGAAAGAAGTGAAAGAAAAAGCTTACTTGGCATCACCGGCAACCGGGAACCAGGAGCGGCAAAACAAAGCGTTGTTTCTAATCCCATAGAAGATGGAAGTGTTCCACCGGTACCATCCTTCTTCACGACCGATTCCTAAGTAGTCCTGCGCCAAGGCTCTTCGCCGGCACGTGTCCTCCTCCTCGCGCACGAGCCAGCGCCGCCTCAAATGCTTCTTGGGTGAGGGAGGCCCCGCTGCGGTGGAGAGGCGGCGACGACGGGGGAGGATGAAGAAGAGGAAGGAGAGGAAGAAGGTGTAGACGAAGATGAGGGAGGCCCTGAGAGCCTTGAGGAGCGGAATTATGCGGTTGCTCGCCCCCGACGTGAGAGGCTCCATCTCCGTCTCGGCGGAAGACATCGTCTCGGCGTCGGAGACGATTTCGCACACAGACACGGACACGCAACACAGAACAGGAACAGAACAGAGAACCACAACACAATGCAAACGCAATCTGGTTTGACGTAGTTGGGTGTTTATTTATACTTGTTCCGGATCCGTTTTATTTTGTGGGCCCCAATATCTAACGGCTCAAGTTGCACGATGGAGGTGCTGAAAAAAAAAAAAAAAAAAGAGCTGATAAACGCTGTTCGCATCGGAAGTGGAGATAATCAATGAACGGTGATTTCTATGCTACAGCCAATACTCGTTGCACTTGCTCATATTGGCAGATATACTACACGTGGCGTCTTTTCATTTGGTATACTTGGCGGGGAAAAAAACGCGTAGTCGCGTTGGTTACGGTTGGCTTTTTCTACTACTTCTACAAAACTGCGCGTACATCACAATCGCTTCTCTTTTCCCTTTTTTACCGCATTCAGAAAGAGAAATGAGAAGAAAGAAATTCCATTATAACAAACGTGTCTAACGGCACACGCATTTTATTTTGTTAGTTACAATCTACTACTGCTACAATATTAAAAAAAAAAACAAAAAAATGTCTCTAAAATAATGTTTTTCTAAAATAGAAAGTTTTTTTTTATTTCTCCCTCAAAATTAATGTTATAAAACATTATATTATTAATCAACTAATAATTAGAATAAAATTATCCTGATATTATTATCTAACATTTTGATGATTAAATTAAATGGTATAGATGACCAGTGTCTTCAAATGTACCGATTAAAAAAATCAAATTCAGAAAAAAAATTATTTTAAATTTTTGAAATAGTACCGAAAGACGACACTTATTATTATTATTATTATAATTATTATTATTATTATTATTATTATTATTATTATTATTATTATTATCTGTACCATATTAATCAAAAATGTAATGTGTGACTCATTATAATTAAAATTATCATTTATTATTTACAAGATATCTCGGTTAAAAGTAATGTATAGTTGTTAAAAAATCGAACATTTATTTAGGAATTTTCTTTTAATTAAATTTGTCTAAATTAAATAATATCTTAGTTATTTTTGTAGTTCTCTTGAAAGAGATAATGGATTTATCTCAGAAATAAAGAGAATATTTGAAAAGTGGAGACGGAGATTTCGATTCCAATAAATCGAAGGTTTATGAAACGCAGGACACGACGTGTTTTGTTGTGTATCATCAGATTGCGATTAGGTGACAAGAATTAAACTTCTTGGCGTTTTCGTGTGTGGTCTCGTTTTCTCTCCACCTCCCTCTCTCTCCTCCTTTCAAAATCCTTGAACATTTCGCCCATTATCTTCAATCCACAAATAATTTATTAAAATGAATAATACATCATTTTTTTTTGTTAAGAAAAGTGTTGGTGAATTGTTCACGAGACTTGTTCAAATCAAAACATGTATAAGACTAAGAAAATATTTTTAAAATTAGTTAGAATATGTTGGAAGCAATAGTTATATTTAAAATTATAAATAATTTTAATCAAATTTTAAATCTATAATAAAATATTTATTTTATTTCTAAATAATTTTGATTAATAATTCCTAAATAATAAATATTTTTAATAAAATATTAATTCATTAATAAAGATCACTTATACTCAAATTCATGGATTAAATGCTCTATTATTTAAATTAATTATTGTAATAATATAAGTTAAGAATGATAAAATAGAATAAATTAGTGGTTATAGTCAAGATGGACTTCAAATTATATATAAAATAAAATCTATAATTTTTTCATAATTTTATTTATTTTCCTTAGGATTCATTTATTTTTTGAATATAAAGAAATAACGAATACACACTTATAATTTAATTAAAGGAGGAAAATTAAAACTAGTTAAATTATTTTTTGTATTGGCTTGGTGAAAAAGCTGACGTGTAAGCTTTATGCATGGGTCACAAGGTGATATGTTTATTTATTTATTTTTTCCAAATATGAGTCATCTGCTCAATTACTAGGTATAAAAAAAATACTCAAGAGATTTGGGAAAAATTAAGTGGATTTTGATAATTTTTTCATCTTTTATTAAAAAAAATTGATTCTTTTTATCTTACATATAATTTCTTTAAAATAAATAAAGTTTTCAAAATGAAAGTAACAAGATGAGAAATGTGGCAAGAAAGTAATGAAATAAGATAAAAATATGTTGACTCAAATCACCATCGTTTGCCAAATTGCCAACCATCAACCACGTATTGAGTGACTTGGTCAAATCAACATAAAAAAAAAAAAACTAATATTTTTGGTCGCATACTTTTTATTCATGAAACGAAGAAAAACTAATGTGACAAATGACAGATCAAGTTTTCAAGAATTATTTTTTAATTTTAACGTTTTAAGGATTAAATAAAAAAATGTTGTATATTTTCGAGAGTCAAGTAAAAATTCCATCAATATTTTTATAACTTATTTCACTTATAAATGGAATTAAAAATATTATAATTATTAAAAATAAAAAGTACTCAATATCCTTACATAAAATAAAAATATATTAATTTATTATTATATATTTAATCGATATGAAAGAATAAATTTTTAACATCTCCCTATTTTAAGAGAGATTTCCATGTGCAGTATCACTAATATCCATATATAATTCAATTTTATAAAATCATTTATTTAGATAAAAAATTTATTCACTTATATAATATATATAATATTTTATCATATCCTTATTTTTAAAAAATAAATTATTATATTTTTTCATTTAAAAACACATAATATTTTTTTAATAATTATTAATAAGAAAAGGAAAGATAATAATTTCTCCAATAGATAATTATTGGGAACAAATAAAAGTAAATATTATTATTAAATTCTTCACTTTTAGGCAAACAACTTTCAATAATATTATAGCTTCTAAAATGAATGAATTGGAGGGACCTACAAATTAAAGTCACAGGAGAAGCGGAGAAGATAAATTTTATTTTGGCTTGTATTTAATTTTTATGTTATAAAAAATATTTATTTTATAAATCATGCTAAATTTATTTTTGTATTAAGGTATTGTAAAGTTATCTTATTTATTATAAAAGATATTATTATTATTATTATTATTATTATTTCTTTAAATTTAAAGAAGGTATGCTGTTTTATTTTTTATATTTTATTCTAATTGTGAGTTATTATTCAATTAATCTGATTCTTAAAGAAACTTTACTTCTTAAAAAGACAAAATAACAATATCACGAATAAAAAGAATGTAATATCAGAATAAATTATTAAATAATTTAAATATTTGATTTTATACTTTTAAGAATAAAGATGTTATGATAATTCATAATTAAATAAAAAATCGATCAATAGTTTTTTATTAATTATTATTATTATTACATAAATATAAGAGTATTGTCTTAAATGATATTTTTGTTGTTGGTTCTATTTAAAATTAATAAATATAACTATAACTTCCAATACGTCACATTCATTTTATTTTTATATTGTTCTACCCCGCGATTTCTGCAAAAAGCATAAATATAAAAGTGAAGTAAACGATGTTTAGCTACTCCAGAATATTTGAAGAAGTTTATTTTGATATTGATTTTTTATGACGATACTTCTGAGAAAATGCTTTGATTTTTTTAGAAATTAATATTTTAGTATACTTGTTATTTAATTAGATGCTTTTAAGTGATGGTAGAAAAAATTATTGAAATATACGTATAACATAGACCGAATTATTTTCTTTCATTTTTTTTAATTAAATTCACATGCATAAAGGATGCTGGTATGGTCAGACCTTTGCATGGAACCTTCTTAGAATACTAAAAAAAAAAAAAAAATTCTGATTCTTCTTTGTCTTTTCTTATTCATCGTACTGAAATTTAAATTGAGTAGAATGACTAATTAATAGTTAATTGCAAATATAGATAAATAAAAATATAATAGCAGAAAGAAAAGGTATAAGTCACAGTTAAGTGACAATTAACAAATAAAAAAATAGTTGAATAATAAAAAAAATGATTTAGTATATTTGTTTATATTTTTTATGAACTATTTTTAAAATATTATTTTTTTTTAAATATATTTAATTTTTTCTTTATTTATTCGTATTTTTATTATTTTTTAAATATATAAAATATTATAATTGTTAAAAAATTGTCAAATTTAAATGATAAAAAAATGTATCGAGTCGTCAATTCGAAATATTCACTAGTTAAATTATTTCGATTAATGAAAAAAATTATATTAAAAATATTGAAAATTAGTCTTAATTATATTTTTTATCCTGAAAATAAAATTAATTTTAGATTTGATTCTCGGATTTTTTTTTAAATTGAAAAATATATTTTAATTCATATATATTAAATTCAAGAGACTAAAATAAAATTTGTAAAATTACTTATACTCTTCAAATTTAATAATTAATAAGTTGAATTACATTTTATTAAATTTTAAAAAATTAAAATATTATTTTAATTAACACATTTAAAAAGTTATTCTAAATTTAAGATACTAAAACATAACTAAACCAAACAATAGTAATAGGTTCCCATCACTCGGGTCATGAGGGACGAGGTAAGGGGGTCTCTAGGGCATGACCCCTTAATTTTTTTATATTTAATTATAATTTGCATTTTTTAATATATATATATATATATATATAAATAAATTTTTAATGTTGTCCCTTTATTTGATTTTATTAACTGGTTCCGTAGAAGGAAAATGCATTCAATACTCTTAAAATTGATCTCTTATAACTAATATTTTATCTTCAACTCACTAATAGGTAAAGTAATCCTAACAAGGTAAGATGTTAATACATTAATTATAAAAATTGTAAAACATAACGATGAATTATAATGATTGGATTTGGAATAAAAGGTATCATTTGAGAAAGAAAAAAGAATGGCTTGTACGTTGTTTTTTTTCATATCTAAATTTAGTTTGTATCTAACAATAATTTTGTTTCTACATCAAAATAAAATATTGTAAGAATAAAGGTTTTGAGGAGTCTTCACGGAAGGATCATGCATGATCATTAATTCACTGCACATAGGTGTGGGAAAAATAGTACACAGAAAGTGACCACGTAATTAATAAATTTAAATATGATTTATTTAATTAAAAATATAAGTAAATTACCCGTCGATCAATAAGAAATTATATATTATTAGCTTGACGTTTTTTTTTTCTCTCCTTCATTTTTTTTTAAAGCTTAGCTTCGTTTGAAGAACAATTGGGCCAGTTTTGCCCATATTTGACTGTTTAATGGACCACTTAGAGGGTTAGAGTTTGTTACAAATCCCACAAATTAAGAAAACTGGTCCAATTTCTTTTACTACCTTATGATATTCTGCGATCCAAATTCTTTCGGCCTTGTTAGCGGAATTGGATACGTAGAAAAAATCCTTATTTTTTTAAAGTCATAATTTTAATTATCCAATTTGATATATTAGATTATATATATATATATATATATATATATATATATATATATATAATGGGGTTTAATATAAATATTTGTCCCGACATAAAAATATGTTTTTTTTAAAGATTTCACTTTCACATATACATTTAAAAGTTTAAGTATAAGTGATATATGTTTTGGGAATATGATTGATTTTTTAGGGTTGTAAGTGATTTGGTCGGGGAAATTCTAGTCAAATTTTTAGCTCACTCAACTAAATGTAATTAACTTGGAATTGATTGAGTTTGTGATTTTTATTTAATATTCAAACATAACACAATTATGATTGGATATTGGATTGAGTATACTCAGGTTGACTTTTATTAAAATGTATTGTCTTTTAAAAAAATGTTTTTTTTTTTTTCATATGGTAAGAACGATCTTATGTCATATGCATAAACTATATTTATATAAGATGAAAATTTAAATTTATTTTTATGATAAAGTTATTAGGTAATTATTTTTATTATATAATTAGATTGAATCAGCTTAATTGAATTTAGTTACTCGATCCAATTCTAATTGCGTGAACACAAAATCCCCTGATCAACACAATGACACAATCTAATAAATAAAAATATAACTAGATCAAATTCTTAAATTTAGTCCAACCCACTTATACCTAATTATACATCTAAATTTGTATTTTTCCTAAATATCATGGATAATTTTATGGTGGTAATTCCATGTCGTTTGCCTTATATTATTTGGCATAATTTAAATATTTATTAGGTTATTCCATATATTTTTAATTAATTTTATGTTAGAATTTTAATAATATTTCTATTTTAAAATTATTTCGATATTAATGGGATAATTTTACTAGGATGGTGCATCATGATAATGGGATATGTGTTATGAGTGGATGTAATGATAGGTGCACGCAAAATCTTTTGAATTAATGACAAAAATAATATGTGTAAATACTCAGGATTGGTGTATAAAACTCATTGAATATTATATTTTAATAGAAAAAGTTCCTACTTAAATTTTGTCCTTTTTTTTAAACTAGAAGGCCAAATAGAAAGGGATTTTTTTTTTCACAATTTATAGAGTTTATCATTTTATTATAAGAATTAAGACCACCTCGTGATCTTTAGTTTTTCTCTTAAAAAAAGAATATAATTTTTATCCCAAAGAGTTATAGCCATTATAGCTATAAAAACTGAACGTTTTGAATAGCTTCTTTAATCAAAACTACGAGAAACTCGTGAACGTTAATTAATTATCTTTATTTTCTTCCCTCTCATAAATTTAACTCCCTCTCTCATCACATGATTTCGGATTTCGTTAGTTAAATCTACTGATTTTTCAGGCATCATCATATATTTTCTGTTTGTTCTGCATTTATAATATTATACTTTCTTTTCATCAATCAACAGGGACAAGTGGTATTGGTTTTGTTTGGGAACTCTGAATATACCCACAGTTTCCACTACATAGAATGGTGGTTTGTTTTGGTTTCACACAGGACAGATGGAATTAGCAAGAAGAACAATGAATTTAGGAAAAGGGTTTGGTGAACTCATATTAATTATACAATCACACTTGGAGTAATTTATACCATTAAATATCTATTTATAGTTAAATGTTTAATCTTTGTGGTTATACTTTTTTTTTTCCTCTATAATTATATATAAAACCATAACATGCATCAATTTTTATATTAATTAATTGTTTTTGTCAACTCATCAAAGTATTAGCACAATTTTGTCAAATAAATCAATGAAGAGAAACCTAATGCGGAATCTCTAGAATGTCATTAAAAAAAGTATTTTATTAATTAATATACAAAAAAAGTCAATATTGGTAATTGACTATGCTAGTATATAGCACTGTTTGATTGATGTATGCCTAATTAATATTTATACTAATAAATTTAATTATTTTGAAAGACAAATATTACTAAATATAAACTAATACCAATGCAATATATATGATATTTCTGTTGTGTATATGTATATATTCTCATTCTTGTTTAGCCTATTTTTAAGTTATTTTTAATTATTCAACAGCTGCTTTATGCTTTAAATGGAATTAATGCAGGATGTATAATACTTGGATACGTGACTCAATAAAGCTTGTTGACATTGAACTTTTGGGTTTCAAATTAACAGAAATGTGACCTTTGAGAATATTGGAGTGATGGAGATTGAAGTGGTTTAAAGTTTGTGAAATATCTGGTTTAAAGTTCAGGCCTTCTTCTTATTATCTTGTCCTTTTCATTGTTAATTAGAAAAAACAATTGGAGTCCACATACATCTGCTCTTAGCTACGTTTCTAAATGTTACCTGTCTCAAACCCCAATATTCAATGGGTAGTATATGTAGTAGCTACGTATACTCTTATAAATACATCTCCAAAGTACTGGAACAAAAGCCATAACATTTTTGAACTCTACCTTTGATATAGAACAAATTATATAACATCTCATCTTTATAGTGATGCCCCCAAACCAATTTAGTTCCTCCACCACCACCATCACCAACATGAGTGGTTTCCAAAGCACGGTATCTGATGTAATCTTAGAAGGAAACGAAGTGGTGGACCTAGAAGAAACACATGAAATACCAACCGTGTCCGAGGTAGAGAATGCGAAATGCGAATGTTGTGGAATGTGTGAGGAGTGCAGCCACGAGTACATAGGGCGTGTGCGTGACATGTTCTCGGGGAACATGATATGCGGGTTGTGTGCTGAAGCTGTGCATGTGGAGATGGAGAAGAATGGTGGGAGAAGAGAGAAAGCTCTGAAAGAGCACATGAGTGATTGTGTGAAGTTTAACAGGCTTGGTAGGTCGTATCCTGCTTTGTATCGAGCAGAAGACGTGAAGGTGATCTTGAAGAAGACTTTAAGAAGGGCCATGTCCACCAGTACTCAGGATTCGAAGGGTATATAGTCCATCAAGCAAGGCTGGGACACAGGGACGATGATAAAACCTACGTTGTGATATGATATGTTGGTTAATCTTCATCAACTTCTGGTTTCTAAGTTTTCTGCTACACCGCAACATAGATTTCTACTGTAGGCATGTGTAGACATCATCTCTTCACTGGTAATATATGCAACAGTGAAGGTAATTTATTAGGTGCAGGCAATACAAATAAAGTTCAATTTATATATACGTACTTTGAAAGTAAAATATTTGAAAAATGTTGCATGGATAATTCCATCTCATTGCCAGGATAAGACAGAGAGGGAAATTATGCGTAATATGTGATAGGGTAGGGAACAAGACAAATAGAGACAAAAATGATTTCGGACGCTTAAGATATTGATACTTATTGAGACAGACAGGCATATAGAAAAATGAAAGAAAGAAATAACAATATAGATATATTAAATGGTGTTGTGTTCTTTTATTAAAGGAAGGTGTTCTAATATTATTATTATTGTTATTTAAGTGTTAATGAAATATATGTAAACGTGGAATCTAATGGCTGAGTTAAAATTTTATGGTAGAAATAAGAAAATTAAATAATTTAAAGAGAGAAACATCTCCTATCTTAAAATTTTGAGTTAAATGTAATGTTATATTATTTTATGATTGATTTGTGTTTTATTTATGTTAATCTTTCAATATTAATTATCCTTAAAAATACCTCCTAATAATATAAAAATAATATAGTTAAGAAATATTTTGAATTGAGGAGAAAGTGAACCAATATAAAAGAAATTATATTTGAAAAAATTATTAAAAATCATAAAATAAGTAAAAATGAAAAAAAAATTCAATAATTTATATATATGGATTGAATTAGATTTTTTTTTTAAATATATCAAATCATGCTTTAAGTAAAGAGATCTCTTTTAAGAGATTGTGGCAATTTTTACTTTATTTTTTATTTTTTTTATTAAATCATACTCCTTCGTATATAAATATTTAAAAATATTCTTTTCAAAATAATGTAGGACTTAGAAAAAGTGAAACATTAAAAAAAAGGAAAAAAGAATATGAGATTTAAATTCCTTTAACACTATATTAATAATATTTGTTAAATGTCAAATTAGTCTCACGTTTCTTAAGATATTAAGTATTGAAGAGGATAATCATATTATATATATATATATATATATATATATATATATATATATATATATATTTTTTCGTACATTTAAATAAAATCAAACTTTCTTAGTGTGAACCTCATTTGTTTGTCTTTAATTTTAAATTTTTTTTCCTAGAATCTTCCTCTATAATCTTTCTTAAATTTCTTAGGAAGTTTGAGAAAAAAATTATTTTTTAAATTAATAATTAAAATTAATTGTTTTATAAATAATATTTTTTTTAAAAACGAACTAGTTTTATTTAAAAAAAATTATACTAAATTTATATTAGGTAGTATGATTTTAAGAAAAAAAAATGTAACTCGTGTTACTTATCATAATTTCAAAAAAAATTGGGACTTTTCAACAAAAAGTTGAGATTTTGAGTTCAACATTATATCGTGTTTTTTTTTTTATTATTATAATTCACTCGAACAATTTTTCAAAATTTATCCATAATAATACCTAATTCTAAAAGTATTCATGTATGTTAACATTAAAAAATATTTTACACAAGATTACTTAAACTTAACCATTTTAACTTTCTATCCTTTGATAATATGTGAAGATCTTATAACTGAATTCTTATTTAGATGCTATTTTATATACATGCTATTCAAATTAATAAACTCATTGGATTTGTGTAATAAAAACATATGATAATTTACAAATATATATACTGTGAGTTTCCAATACTTTACATAAATATATAATATGATTTGAAATCATTCTATTCATTTATAAGATATATATGCTTTGTCATCGTAATTTTTTATTAGACTTTGAGATGTTTTATATTGATAATATATATAAATTACAACTAATTTAAAAGTAATTATATTTCTGAAATGACAAAAGAAACTATATAATGTAAAATAGTTTTGCACTGTAAAGTAGATAACAAATTATTATATTATGTTGTAATAAATTATAAAGTCACACATTATTTTTTTATTGATTACTTGTGTAAGGCAGTGCATTCATCAAATTCAATTCATATATGTTAACAAAAATTGATAGTTAATTTATTTGATATTGTCTTCTAGAGTAGTTTGGGCAAATATTTTCATAAAAGAATATCATATTTATGATACTTTGTTAAATTAATAAAAAAAATTTAACTATTTATTTAATTTTTATAACTATTTTTATATTTATGATTTTTTTAAATAGTAATTAAGGTATACTTATATAATTTTGATTTTAAAGTGATATGAAACTTATTAATATAATTATATATTTTTTAGGTGAACATATGTTCATATTCGTAAATTATGTTAAATTATTTTCCAGTTGAGGCATATCAATATGTAATGATAAAAAAAACTTAAAAGTTAATTTATTTATAAAGAATAAAATTTATAAGAAAAAGGAACACTAATATATGTAAGTCTTGAAATGAGGGTATTTTACACGGAGCTAGAGAATAATTTCTTAGAGGATCAAATATAAAAAATAAAATTAATATGTTAAATTTAATCAATAATTAAAAAAATCAAATTTTAAATACATGAAAGTCTAAATTATGTAAATTAAATAAAAATGCAAGACTACTGTGTAACAGGAGAAAAGCATTGTTAAAAATTACTGTTAGCAATTATTACGGTATTGATAACAAGAAAATGAATATTAGAAAAACCACATTATTGGTCTCTAAGATAATAAATATAGTGTAGAGACCGATTTAGAGTTTAATTATAAGTAAATAAAAGCTTTAATAGTTAATTTTAAAGATAAATTTAAATTATGCTTCAAAAACCGATGTAGTTAAAATAATACTATTTTTTAATTAGTCAATATATAATAATTTTCTTAATGTATTAGCAATTATATCTATACATCGAGAGGTTTATATTTTTTTCATACATATAAATCAAATGATAGAAATAACTTGAAAGTTAATTGAATAAAGAATATGATACTTTTTGTTGTTGTTGGTGGTGAGATTCGTCAACTACAATATTCACTAAATAATGAAATTATGATTATTTGTTTTACTATTTTAAATATTCATTCATATAAGGGGTTCATATATTGTGAGTAACTCTGTTGAGAATCCTTGAAAAATGAAGAGCATGTTGTCTCCATCCACATATGTGTGGAATAATTCTCAAAGTTTGGCCAACCTTTGAAGGTGAAATGACAATGGCGAAAAGAGACTTCCGCTGCGTGCTTTGCATGTTGCGGTCCCCCTTCGCATTTGCCCCAACCTACTTCACAAGATTTCATTGTCTCTCACCTCTTCCACCACAGTTTTTATTATTTTCTCTCTTTTTCAGTAATATGAGACAAAAAACAAAACTCTTTGTCTTATCTACATATCTATTTTTTCTTTCCATAGCTATCTTGTTTCCGAGTCAATTCAACGAATTATCACGCTTCTCTCAAAAAAAAAACTTGTCTCCTTCATCATTAAGTGTTATGAAGAAAAAAAAACGAAAAATATAACATCTTCAATTTTTTAAAATTAACTTAGAATAAGATAAAATAATCAATATAACGTGAAAATTCAAAAATTGACTGCGTGAAAATTTTAAAATGAAAAAAAAAGAATCTATCTCACGTAGTGATGGTATAAAAAAAGGCCAAAAAACAAATATAACAACTTGACAAAGAGTAATAATGCAGCGGAAATTCAATCCCCTTCTTGCGAGAATCAGCAGAGAGCACCAAACAAATAGAATCCAAAGCACAAAGAGACACCAACAATTTTAACGTGGAAAACCCCTCAATGCAAGGGTAAAAACCACGAGTCGTCAGCACCAAAGAAAAATCCACTATGATCAATAATGGGGTACACAAGAGTCTCCAATAATAATACCAAAAGGTATTTTCAATAAACAGAATTAACTAAGCACAAATGCTTACAAAAGAGAAACAAAGAAGATGAAAAATCTCCAAAACAGGGCTGCTGGTGCGGGACCAATTTCTCCCAATCTAGACCTTCGATTGACGATCCGAACGGTCAGAATGAAGAACCATATGTCTGGAACCTACTATCCAAAAATCAGCTCGATCCAACGGTGAACGACTTCACAGCGACGAAAACACCAGTGCAGATTTAGGGTTATGCGGAGATGACTTTCTCTCTTTCTTTTTCTCTCACTAGACTTTTTGTCTTTTTTCAAATGACTCTCTTGTCCTCTACTAATCTGACCCATCTCATTTTACCCAAATGAGACATAATGGACCACACTATTTGGGCCTATTCTCCACATAGGAAGGGAGCCCAATAACCCAACAAATCTCCCCTCACGACTATGTGGAGATATCCGCCAAACCAGCGATCTCACAACAAACTTCAAACTTTCCTCTTGGCAATGCCTTGGTCATCATATCAGCACCATTATCATCTGTATGAACTTTAGCTAGTTCCACCAACTTAGCATCCAAAACATCACGTATCCAATGATACCTCACATCAATATGTTTGGATTTAGAATGAAAAGTTGGATTCTTACCAAGATGAATAGTACTTTGACCGTCACAATACAACAAGTATTTATCTTGCACAAAACCAAGCTCCTGCAAGAATTTCTTCACCCATAACAACTCTTTGCATGCTTCAGTAAGTGCAATGAATTCCGCCTCGATAGTAGACAACGCCACACACTTTTGCAACTTTGATTGCCAAGCCAAAGCTCCCCCGCAAACCGAATCAAATAGCCGAAGTGGACTTTCCGGAATCAATGTCTCCGACCATATCCGAATCTGAGTAACCCACCAAAGTAGGTTTATCACCTCCAAAACAAAGTCTCAAACCTCTAGTACCACGAAGATACCTCAAAATCCATTTCACGACGATTCCAATGCTCTCTACCTGGATTTGACGAAATCGCTAAGCTGTACCAA